GCATCTTCCACCATGAAAGTATCTGGAAAGAAAACAATTCCACTGGATTCCTTCCTTAAAAAATCCAGCCCTTGAGAGAGAATTTTCTGGTTTAATTACTAATTAATTGGCTAATCTGCTGAGATCTCTAATATTTAACAAAGTTGCTTAGTTATTATACAATTTCTACTCAGGAAAATCTCTGTGTTCTCGCAAAGCCAAAATAATTCTAATTATTCTTAGAATATTTTAATCCTGTGGAGGTAAATCAGTGTGGCACCCATAAATCCAGCCCATGTTCAGCCTCTTCTTCCTGGGAGTGACTCCTCCAGCCACTGAAGTGCAGCTTTCTGAGAGGAGAAACAGCTCTGCCCCAGCCCACAGCAATGCTGAGAGCTGCAGGGAACATTTCAGTGCAACCTCTCATTATCTAAATCAAGAATTCTCCAAAACACACAAATCTTAAACCCTACTTCTGTTAAAAATGCTGCTGGTTGTTTCCCACCCACTGCCATGACCTCTTTAGTTTGTTCAAACTGAAGGTGCTGAGATGTCTCAAATTCCTTTGCTCAAATGCAAAATGAAATGACCAAGAAAAGCACATTTTGATATTTGAGTTGTTTAAATCAATAGAAGTCTCACAGTTCTAACACTTGCATCAGTTTGAAAAGGACATTCTGCAGAAAAGCTTTGGCTCAGAGCTGTGAGACCCCACAACAACACAGACCAGAAGGAAACCAAACCAAATCCAAGGGATAAAGCACAGCAGAAAAGTTCAGAAATAAAATTAATACCAAATTTTCCCACTGTGCTAAGACAAACCTAGTATTTCTCATCCCTCCTAAAGCAGTGATGCCTCCAGGCAGGAGGCAGAGGCTGAGATGGACATTCCTGGTGTCCTCTAGGAAAAGAGGAGCCAGGAACTCTGCACATTCACCTCAGCCTTGAAGGAGATCCAGGTGTAGCTGCTCCAGGAGCTCTGAGCAGCTCCAGAGGGAACTCGGGCAAATTCCAGTGAGGAACTGGGCTGGCAGCTGGATCCACAACTCCCTAACAGGAGTATCCAGCACTGGGGACACCAAAAGGAACACAGTGAGCATCCCACAGGCAATGAGCTGATCAAATCACGATTTTCAGGTCGAACAGAATTTCCATGAGTTATTATTTTTATCTGGGGATCTCTAACTTCTCCAAACTCCCTGTACCCAGCCTGGCATGAAGGGATCCCACCTTTCTCCACAAAAAAAAAAAAACAAAAAACCCAAACCAAACAGGAAAACGAGAGCCCTGCTCACCATCTGTGGGGTTGGCGAATTCCTTGGGCACCGCAGCTCCATCCCCCAGCTCCACGGGCTCCAGCTCTGTCCTCACCCCCTCGATCTGCACCTCGTGCTCTCCCGAAATTCCATCCTCCTCCGACCTCGAGCTCTCCCCCGTGCGGCGGAATTTCACCACCCTGAAAGCACAGAAAGTGGGATGGATCCTTCCGGGAGTATTTTCCAGCTGGGCTTGGTGAGTCTTGAAGCTCTTGTTTCATCATTCCCTGTCTCGGTTCTCCACTTGGGAATGCTGGGATTTGTGTTTGGATCTGGTTTTCCTACATTGGGGTGGGATATAATCCTTGGGTTTGGATACAGAGGCTGTTATTGTGCTATCCACAAAGTTATAAAACCACAGAGGTCATAAAAATATGATGGAATGATGCATATTTAATGAGATCCATGTTTTGTGTGCCTGGCTTTAATTGGAATTAGGCATTGCTGTGCCACTGAATTTCAGGGGTTTTATCCTGGCAGGAAGAGCCCAAATTCCATTTTCTGAGTTGTTTTTTGTGATTAGAAATCAAAGTCCTGAAATGCACCAGAATTCGAAATATTATTTAGTGAAATATAATTACTGAGCTCATTCAGGGAATGGATGTTTTTTTCCATCAGGATTCTCTGACTCCACTTTCATTTTAAACAGAATTATTTAATATCATGTCATTGATATGTCTGATATAATGAAATATCTGTACTTTAAGACCAGAATTTGCTAAACTGACACAGCTTTGATGTTTTGGTCAGAGGGATTTTCTCCCTTCCCACAGAGAAGGTTCTTTTCCCACCTGTGAAATTTTCTGTGGCCAAACATTTGGGAACAGATCCCTCAAACTGCCTTCACTTTTTCTGCAACACAGCAGAACTTTTTTCCCCTTGGAAAGTGAAAATCCCTTGGATTGAAGTGAAATAGTTTTAGAAATAAATTAAATTATCACAGAATCACAGGGAGGGACCTTAAAGATCATTCTAACTTTGGAGGTGATGGATCCTACAAAATCTGAGAATCACAAATCCAGGCAGGGATTGCCACATTCCTCAGCACAGAAAATCAAAATATAGGTGCATAATTTAGGGATATATGAAACAAACTGATACAAACGAAGGAAAAAAACTCCACAGGGATAATTTCTGTTCCATACTTGCCAAAATTTTCACATCTGGGACATCTCAGGGAGCTGCTGCATTTATTTGCAAAATCTCACAGCACCAAAACACCTGCACTGGAAGGTATTTTGGAACGTATTCCCAGGTTTTGTTCCTAAAAATGGGGGGGAAAAAAAGCTTGATTCTTTTCCCTGGCAAGCTGAAGGCATCCTAACTAAGGATTGGAAAAGAGCTGGAGTTCGTTTCCCAACTTATCAGGAATGTTATGGGACAGGGTGCTCTGTCATTGACACGAGCTCATGAATATTTAACACCAACTTGAAACGTTCCTTCCCTGTCTTGCAGAGCCCATGATTTATAAATAGGAATATGTTGCAAAACACCTGAGAACGGAGCATTAGGAAAAAAGGGGTTGGTTTTAAACCTTTAAATCTAAAGGTTTTAAATTTTCATTTGGAATTGAGAGAAAATGTAGGGATTCCTGGGGTTAAAGGCACCAAAGATTTTATCAGGTTTGGGGTTGTTGTTTTTTTTTTTTTTTCCCACAGATCCAGCAACCACATCCCAAAGGCAGAGAGTTCCTGGCAAAAATCAGCATTTTCCTTGTGCAGCAGCGTTTGGCTTTCCAGAAACGCTGGCAATGCCGATGGTCCCCCCCAGACCCACCTTGGCAGGGCAGGTTCTGCTCTGCGATTCCTCCCTGGCGAGGAGGAGGATGGCGAGGAAGAGCCTCCCCAACACAACATTATTTACAGATAAACCCCCCTGCAAAGGCGATCCCAAAATCTCCTTGGAGCTCCCACGATTTTATCCCAACCCCTGCTGATTTTTTACCACCATCAAATCCACGTCGAGAAAAAAAACCCCAAAAAACAAAAAACAAACGAGATGAGTGAATTTATGTAACAAACAGCTCCTGCATCCCTCGGGATGCTGCACCCGGGCAGCTCCGCCGGGAAAATGGCCTTGCTTCCCGGGATCTGAGCCGCTTCCCGGCAGAATTCCCTGGCCCCCGCCGGGATTCCCGCGGCCGGAGGGGCAGGAGCCCCCTCGGCGCTACTCACGGCAGCTGCTTCAGCTGGAACAAATCCTCCTCCATGGCCGGGCGGCGGCTGCGCTCATCGCTCCCGCATGGCGGGCTCGGGATGCGGGCTCGGGATGCGGGATGGAAAAGCTGGAAGGGCTGGAGAGGCTGGACAGCTCCGCTGGAAACGCCGGCCCGCGCACACCCGCTCGGCTGGGCTGGGCTGGGCTCGGCAAGGCTCAGCTTGGCACGGCACAGCTCGACTCGGCTCAGCACGGCTCGGCTGCTTTGGCACGGCTCAGCTCAGCTTGGCTGGTTTGGCTCAGCCGGGCTCAGCTCAGCATGGCTCGGCTTGGTTTAGCTCAGCTCAGCACAGCTTGGCTCGGATCAGTTCAGCCGGACCGGCCAGGGCTGAGTCTGGCTTAGTTTAGTTCAGCTCAGTGGGGTTGGCTCGGCTGGGCTGGCTCTGGCACGGCTGCGCTCACCGGGACTCAGCGCAGCCCAGCTGGGCTCGGAGGGTTTGGCTGAGCTCGGTTCAGCTGAGCTGGGCTCAGTCGCCGTGCCCGCATTGCCCCGAGCAGGGTTACCCGTGGAATGGCTGCGCTGGGAAAAATCCCCTGAGCCCAGGCGCTGCCAGCACGGCCCGGGCCACCACGGGCCGTGTCCCCGAGTGTCACATCCACCGGGACGGGGAAGCCCCGGGACGGGACCCTTCCCAGGAGGATTTGCCCTCAATATCCCAACTGTTCCACCACTGCACTGGAACGTTGCGCTGTTTTCCCAGAGCTCTGAGCCGCAGACCGCCGACACTACGGGCGGGCTCTGAGGGTCGGGCAGCGCGGGGATTCGGCCCGTCACACCGGGAGCGGCCTGTAACCCCCGGGGCTTCCCATCACAGCGGGTGTCACACCGGAACGGGCCCGCTACACCGCTGCAGACGGTTAACACTGGAAAGGGCCCGTTACACCGCGGCAGGCCGCTCACACCGGCACGGGCCCGCCCCCGGGTGCCGCCCCGGTGCCGCCCCCGCTCCACCCCCGCCCCGCCCACCGCCATAGCGCTCCCCTCCATAACCGGCCCTCCCCGCACCACTTCCGGTGCCGCCGCCCAGCCGGTCCGCGCGCTCCTGCCGTCCCCCCGGCACCGCTCGGCCGCGCGCTCGCGTTCCGGCGCGGCCATGCTGGCAGAGGGGCCGGTGCGGCGGCTGCTGCGGGCGGGGGAGGGGGCCAGGTCCGAGGGGAGGGCTCGGCTGTGACGGGAGTGGGTCGGGATGGAGCGGGAAGAACCTTGGGATGAACCGGGAGGGAGCCGGCTCTGAGCGGAGCGGAGCGCAGACGAGCGGGGGGGCTCGGCTTGGTCGGGGCGAACCCTGGGCCGGGCGCTTCCTTTCTTCCTTTCCCTCCTTCCCTCACTTTCTTAATTTCCCTTCTCCTTTCTCCGTTTGCCTTTTCCTGCTCCATTTCCCCCCTTCCCACATCCCCATTCCCTTCTGGCCGTTCCCCGGTGAAGGCCGGGCGGTCGCGGCCTGTCCCGGTTGCCGCAGTTGCTGACGCCGTTCCCGTTTTTCCCGTGGCAGGCACCGAGCCATGCGGAGCTGGGGGATGCTGGGGGGCGCGGCGGCGGCTCTGGCAGCCGGGATTTACGTCCTTTGGGGCCCCATCACCGGCAGGAAACGGCGCCGGAGAGGTACCGGAGGGGTTGGGGCTGCCAGCACCGGGAACGAGCCCGATATGTGCTTTTATCCCGTTTTTCCAGCTGCTATGAACGCTGTGGAAGCAGCTATTGGTGTTTCCAGCTGCCAGCGGGCAGGGTTTGGGTGGGGTTTTGGGAAGGAATTCCTCGCTGGGAGGGTGGGAAGCTCTGGGACAACTTCTGGAGGGCTGCCCTGGATCCCTGGAAATGTCCAAGACCAGGTTGGATGGGGCTTGGAGCAGCCTAGGAGAGTGGAAGGTGTCCCTGCCTGTTTCCAAACCATTCTGGGATTCTGTAAAACACCAAAAATCGATTGAATACCAACAACTGCGAACTGAGCTCCATTTAAAGGGAAAGAACTCCCATTTTCCTGTAATTACAGCACCTTACACAGCATTCCTGCTGAAAAACAGGATGTTTCCCTTGGATTTCGTGATGTGAACTCTTGGAATTCTCTTTGCAGGGCTTGTCCCGGGTCTCCTGAACCTGGGCAACACGTGTTTCATGAATTCCCTGCTCCAGGGCTTGTCCTCCTGCCCCTCCTTCATCAGGTGGCTGGAGGAGTTCACCACACAGTACAGGACAGAGCAGGAAAAATCCAATGAACATCATCAACACCTGTCAGTGACTTTGCTGCAGCTCCTCAGAGGTACTCAGATATTTTCCTGTTGTGGCAAACCAAGCATAAAATATTTGAGGAGAAATTTTGTCATTTTTAGCCTCTTTTTCCAAATAAAGAAGCTTGTGTTGTTTCTATTCCCTATTTTATTTCCATCTCTAATTTTCAACCCCTTGGCCAAAGCTCAACTACCTTTCACAGAAGAGTTGAATTCTACAGAATTCAAGAAATCTAGAATTCCAGAAAAAAATAATCAGCAAATAATTTAAGCTTTTTCCTTTTCACCCAAGCTTACTATCTTCCCAAAAATCTGGGACTATTCAGCCACACTTCACAAGGTTTCTGATAAAAATATTACAGATTTTAAACTCAAAGTGATTCATTTCTGGGCTAAATTCATCTCTAACACCCTCTAGTGATCCCCTGGCTTCCCTCACAAGGTTGTTTTTCACGGAAATCCCTTGGAAGTTGTGGCTTGGGATGTCCCTTTGGAAGTGGTGTGAGGATGGAAGTGCTTTAACCCTGTCATACACTGATTTTTACTCATTTTTGGCTCCTCCTGACATTCCCTTTTCCAGTTTTATCCTGCCAGGAGGTGACAGAGGATGATGTCCTGGATGCCAGCTGCCTGCTGGAGGTGCTGAGGATGAACAGGTGGCAGATTTCCTCCTTTGAGGAGCAGGTGAGTGCAGGGAAATCCCCAATGGGATCCCCTGGAGCTGCCAGATGTGAGTTCTGCTTCCACAAACATCCACAGATATTGGGAATGGGGCTTTCCCCTGTGCTGGGATATTCCTCAGGGAATTCCTGGCTGCATCCAAACCTTGTCATTACCAACAGGGCCAGGAATATTAAACCAGAACAGATCCAGCCCTGATTTCCCTATGGATAATGGATCTGTGCTCTGCTCCCAGGGATGCACTCCAGGTTTCCAATCTTTTCAATAATCCTCATTATTTGCAATTCTTGTCTCACTCCAACAATTATCCCACTCCTAAAATACATTCCTGATTTCCAATGATAGATTTCAATTATGCTTTCCTTGAAATGGAGGAAAACAGGGATTTGGGAATTCATTTGGGAGTATTTTTTTCCCAAGTATTGTAATTCCTTGAGAATTTTTATTGCCCAAAATGTCTTTAGTACCTTGTGCTGTTAGGAAGCTTTTGGGCACAACAGAACATATTCAATACTAACACAAATAAATTACCATAAATATATGTAATATAGTTATTTAATATGATAATTATAAGAAATTATTTAATATAGTTTAGATAGTCTTTTTTCATTATTATTTAGTATGTACTTATGTATTATATATTTCTATATAATGTATATTATATGAGGTATATTATGTATTTTATATGTACTTATCTATAAGTGTGAATACAAATGTAAATGTAAATTTAACTATTAATTTAACTGTAAATATAAATAAAAATTTACCTATAAGTATATATAAATTTAACTATTAATTTAACTGTAAATATAAATAAAAATTTACCTATAAGTATAAATACAAGTGTAAATTAAACCTAGATTAAATCTAAAATACACAATATAAATATTAAATATTCCATATAAACATTCAATCCAAATACAGACTCTGAACTGTAAATTTTTTTCCTTCATTTCCTGTGGAATTCCAGCCTTCCTGGAATGTTTTATTTTTTTTTGGATGTCATTTTCAGGATGCCCATGAGCTGTTCCATGTCCTGACCTCTTCCCTGGAGGACGAACGGGATCGGCAGCCCCGTGTGACCCATCTGTTTGATGTGCATTCCCTGGAGGTGATCCCACTTATTTCCTGAGCTGAAATTCCTGGAATTTTTTTCCCAGATTCCCAAGTACTTAAGTGTCTGTTTAGGATATTTTGATTCTGTTCCCAAAGCTGCTCTTTTATCCTTTGAGAGGAACTCATAAGTCAAATTTAAAGAATTTCAGGGTTTTATGAAGGAAATACCCTCGAATTTCCAGTGTTCCTGCTTTCCTGAGGGTTTTTGCTTCCCTAAATCCATGGGATGTAGAGATTTAAATTACTCCCTCCTGGCAATTACTCTGATCTGTAGTTCCTACCTGAAAAAGGGTTGAAAACTGCAAAAAGGACATTTCTGGAAGAGCTGTATGGAGGTAAAATTGATCTTATCTTCCAGCTTGCTGATGAACTTGATGCAGTTGGAAAATATTTGATTTTGCATATAAAAATAAAGATATAGGCCAAAAAAAAAGACAGAATCTCCTATTTTAGTGTTCTGTGGCAGAGTTCTGCAGATTAATGATCCTTTTTACAACAATTGTCAATTATAAATTTGTTTTGTTCCAGGTTTTTTTGTTCTTCAAATATAAAGATCTACTGAGATTCTCACAATTTTTCTAATGCCAGAAAAGCCAATTAGGGATGAAATAGGAACACATTTAATACTTCATGTATTAAATTCTAAATCTTTTCTATGTTGCTGAGATGGGGTTAATGAAGTGTTTTTATCTCCCTCTGTAGCAACCAGAAATAACCCAAAAGCAAATAAGCTGCAGGACAAGAGGTAGGATTTTATCCCTCCTGGATATTCTGAATATTCATAGGGTAGTTTTGTTTATTAAAGGGATAATATTAATTGATCTTTATATTGAACTGAAATAGAAATCAAAAGTATAAATAAATTATTAATCACTGGGACAACAATGTGCTTTGGAGGCATTAATTTGGTTACTGCAAGGGAAGAGTTTGAGATTGGAGTGGTGAAAGTGGATGGATGGAAAATCCAAGGAGAATTTTTGTGTTGCAGGATCTCTTCCCCCTGTGTCCAACCACTGGAAATCTCAGCACCCTTTCCATGGAAGGCTGACCAGCAACATGGTCTGCAAACACTGTGAGCACCAGGTGTGGAAATAAATAATATTTTATATTATTATTAATATGTGTGTCATGTGAGAAGGGATTTCCAACACTCAGAGTGCTTTCTTGAACCATCACCCTTTGGTGATGAACAAGGATTTATCCCTAAATAGACAAAAAAAATTAATGTGATGCACCTTGTGGGGGTAACAGCTGCCTCATCAAACAGAATAATGGCTGTTCTATTCTATTACTGATTTAGCAATTAATTAATTAATAATATTGCCTGAAAATCCACTCACATGGCTGAGTTTAGGACTTGCTGCTTATTCAGATTTTGAAAAGGCACTTAAAGTCCAGTTATCCCAAGTAAGGAGATGAAGATAACCTGGATAAAGGAAAAAATTACAGAAACTAAACCTCATTTATATCCCAAACCAAGAGAACATTTGTATTTTATTTCCCAAAACCTTGCAAACAAATTGGAGTGAGCAAGAAGAGGCTGAGCAGAACATTCCTGGTGTTCCCTGGAAAACTGGGGGGGTTTGGATCCTGTTCCACCAGGGAATTATGGACAGCATGGGGCATAAGCTTATCTTGGGAGATTTGGGTTGGATTTTTTTTTTTTTTGGCACTGCCATAATTCCTGGCTCTGGAATGTTCTCTTGCAGAGCCCTGTGAGGTTTGACACCTTTGACAGCCTCTCCCTGAGCATTCCAGCAGCTGTGTGGGTACGTATCCCACTGCTCCCTGATCCATCCTGCCCTCCCACGCCTTCCTCAGCTGCACAGGACATTCAGGGCTCCTTCAGGACTTCATTTTCCTGCTCTTTTATCATCTTCTGTAACCCTGTGCTGCTGCAGGACCTTCTCCCTAACGGGTGTGAGGTTCCAGTGAGTTCCAACGAACAGAACTTGGTGATGCCACCAGAGCTTTCCGTTTCTCCTGGTGGAGGATTTGGTGTTTTCTGTGGAATTTGAAGAGCTCACATGATATCCCAAGGGTTGCTTCCCATCTTGGGAAGCTGATCTTCAGCTGGGGTTCCCCTGGCAGCTCACACCTTACCCCCATCCAGGCTTTTCCAGTGGGTGATTTCAATTGGGAATTGTTTCCATTTCTTTCTGCCTCTGAAAAACTTCAAATGACAAAACACTGTGGGTCTTTGGGGCAACATCTGCAGGATATTTTTGGACTGTAAGGGTTTGTTATTTCATGTCTGGTAGTGATTTCTTTCCACTGCTATTTGTACTTCTGGAAATTGTGATTCTTACTTGCAGAGTGCCCTCCTGGACAGCCAGAATTGGGATCTGGACACATCTTCTGCTCTTTGTGTTTTGTTTATCCAATCCTTGGCAGAGCAGGATATGAGGAAGGGCAGGGAGGCCTAAATTCCATTAAAAGCTGTATTTCTCTCATGGAGAGGGCCAGAGAGCATAAAGTGACCCCTGAGGTGCTGGAATGAGAGATAAATAGGAGCAGGACAGGAATCTGTGGTTTCAAAGCCCACTGGAGGGCTCACACAGGGAAACACTGCTGTTGTTATCAAAAGGCTGCAAAGTTTTCCATGTTTAATCCAGCCTAAAGGAGAATCCCCACAGTTACATGATCACCCAAAGCTACTCAGTTCTTTCATGAAATAAATCTGCAGTTCTGCACTTTTTCTATGGAAGAAATTGTTAAAAATCCTTTCCCAAAATCCAATGCAATGCATCCTAAAATTCCTGCAAATAATTCTGGCTTTTCTTGGCACTCAGGGTCGTCCCATGACACTGGACCATTGCCTCCATCACTTCATCTCCTCAGAGTCTGTGAAGGATGTTGTGTGTGACAACTGCACCAAAGTAGGTCCCTTTGATTCCTGTCACTCTAATTTCTGTCACTTTAATTCCTGTCACCTCCCCACTCAGTTTTGAGCCTGCTGACACAATCCTGGCTTCACTTTCCACCTCCTTTTCCTTCAGAACTTGGGGAAAGCCTCTGGGATTTCAGATATTTAACAAGGACTTCTTACCTCACAGAATATCTGAGGCTTTACTTACTAGTGCTGTTACAAAATTCCAAATATTTTATTCTGTAATTGCCAAGTATCACCAGAGATAATTATTTTGCTCTGGTATTGTTTAAAAATCAATAGAAGAGGCAAATGAGTGAAGTTCTTGAAATGCTCATTTCTGCTTGGTTTGGTTTAGAATTTTGATCCTTTAAGAATTCTGAAGAGCATTCCTAGGTGTGATTAATGCACTGAGCATAAAACAATTAATTTCTCCTGACTGCAGGTGGCTTCATTTTTTTTTTTTCCCTTTTCATTCCAGATCCAGGCAGAAGGACTTCTGAATGGACAGAGCATAGAAAACCAGAGAACAACGTTTGTTAAGCAATTAAAGTTGGGAAAGGTGAGGCAAAAATCCCCCTCCAAATTTCCTAAATCCTGTCACACAGTAACTCCTCTCTTTGAGCTGGTTGTGTCCATTTCTTGCTATTACAACACAAATGTTTTACTTTTCAAAGCAAACTCACCTGGCAAATATTTGTGGGCACTGAGGCCTCAACTCAGCAAAACATCAAACATTAAACACTGAAAGGATGTGGATATTCTCCTGTTATTTAGCAAAACACTTAAATGTGAGTTTGGCTCAGTGTCATTTCTTAAATTTTACATTAATTCTTTGGTGAGCAAATTGATTTATATTTCCAGGGTTTGTAGCATCTTTAGCAATTCCACATTTCAGAGAAATTAAAATATTCTGAATACAGCTGGTGAGTAAACATCAGGTGTGATTTCTATGAGAAAACTCTTTTTATTTTTTTTTCTCTGTAATCCTGTCATGCAGAGGCCTGCAGGGCACTGGTGTGTAATTAGGAGCCTCAGGTGCCAATAATAATAATAAATAATTATAATAATAATAGTGTACTTCTTGCTACAACAATGATTTTGAATTTCAGCTCTTTATAACACTTAATGTTTTATGTTTTCCCCTGTGCAAAGCCATTAATTATTGGGGATTAGGAAATATCAGGAATCTCACAAGAATTACTGTCACGTTTTAGGGACGTTGAGCTTACACAGAGATAAGGGAAATTTATTTCCTTATTCCCTGGACTTACCACCTGTTTCTTTCCATGAAAAATGTGGATTCTCCTTTGCTGAACTCATTCCTGAAGCTGCCCCAGTGTTTGTGCATCCACCTGCAAAGGCTGAGCTGGTCAAACCAAGGCACTCCCCTGAAGAGACACGAGCACGTCCAGTTCAATGAATTCCTGGTCATGGACATCTACAAATACCGAGTTCCTGGGCCCAAATCCACCCAGGAGCAGCTCAGCCAGAAAAACGTGGAGGAGACAACCCCTGGAATAAAGGATGGGAGAGCAGGGAAGCCTTCAGGTACCTCCTTTGCCAATAAAATAGTTCAGCTCTTTCTGCATTTCAGGGATCCAACATTCTCTGCAGAATCAAGCCATGAGCTTGATGTGGGGCTCTGCAAAGAGGACAGAAATCCCTTTGCCATTCCCAAATTTACAGTTCAGTTTGGATAATTTCATTTTGATCCTACTAAATATATATATTAAAAAATAAATTACAAACCATGGCACAGAATTCAAGTATTTTATGTCCAAAGGTGTGTTGAACTTGAAATGTTCCAGGGTTTTTCTTGTCAGGGATCTCTTCCAAGGCTTCAGGACAAGCAGAGAAGGAATGCTGGGAATGGGGAATTCTTCAAAAACAGTTGGAAAATCCAGCTGTAGGAGATCTGTCCTTAGGCAACTCAATATTCCTTTAGTTGGGATTTTGAACACATACTTGTCATGTAAAATAGATTTTAATAAAATATCCATTGCCTTTGGACATAAAAATCAATAAAACACCTTCATATCCCGTGATGAAAGGCACTGCAGGAGCAGGGGTGCTGTTCTCAGCAGCAGCATTCAAGTTAAATCCCTGAATTTCTCCTTCCTCTGGCAGATGCAGAACAACCAGCTGGTACCAAACCTCTCTTCATGAATGGTGCCTCCTCTTCCTCATTTTTAATGTCCCCAGGAACTTTCCCACTTGCTGCATTCTCTGAGTGCAGGTAAGTTAGAGATTTGTACCCTCTCTTCATTTCTGTCCTTCAAACTGCCTCCCTTTTTTCTGTCCTTGTCCTGAGGCTGGTTACAGGATGTAACCTTTGTCCCAGCTCCTGTGCTTGTGTCTTGGGTGATTTTTAGTCCTGGGAAAGGGAGTAGGACAAGTTACAAGCAGAACACAAAATCCTCTGGGTCATGGTGCAGTAAATGCTTCTGAGCAGCCATAATCTCATTGCTGCTGGGTTTCCTCTAGCCCTTCTTTTCCTTCATTTTCAGATGGTTATAAGAAATCCATAGATTTTTTTTTTTTCCCTCAGACATTTTTTATTTCAGTTGCACCTGCCATGATTCCAGTTGGTAAATCACCCTTGGGGCCTCTGCTGATAATGCTTTTCCATAGAATTCCAAAATGGTTTGGGTTGGTGGGGAGCTTAGGAACCATCCAGTGCAGTCCCCTCCCAATGAGCAGGGCCACCTTCCACTATCCCAGGTCACTCCAAACCCTGTCCAGCCTGTCCTTGGGTACTTCCAGGGATGGAGCAGCAGGTTTGAGACCCATAATCCCAGAGTGGTTTGGGTTGAAATGAAACTTGGAAATCTTCCAAGTGGAAGGGCCACCTTCCACTATCCCAGGTCACTCCAAACTCCATCCAGCCTGTCATTGTCTGCTTCTAGAGATGGAGCAGCAGGTTTGAGACCCATAATCCCAGAATGGTTTGGGTTGAAAGGAGATCATCCACACCCTGCCATGGCCAGGGCCACCTTCCACTATCCCAGGTCACTCCAAATTCCATCCAGCCTGTCACTGTCTACTTCTAGAGATGGAGCAGCAGGTTTGAGACCCATAATCCCAGAGTGGTTTGGGTTGAAAGGAGATCATCCACACCCTGCCATGGCCAGGGCCACCTTCCACTATCCCAGGTTGCTCCAAACCCTGTCCAGCCTGGTTTTGGGTACTTCCCGAGATGGAGCAACAGGAGAAAAGTTTGCATCACAGAATGGTTTTGGGTTGGAAGGAAACTTGACCATCCCTTCCGCTAGACCAGGACCATTCCAGGGCACGGAGCAGCCACACCCTGCACCTCAATCCCCCTCAGGGCGCCGCACCCTCGCTGCAGGCGGCAGCTGTGGCCGCTCGGTGCCCGTGTGTGTCCCCTCCCGCAGGTCCCCGCTGTACCTGTACCGCCTGATGGCAGTGGTGGTTCACCACGGGGACATGCACTCGGGACACTTCGTCACCTTCCGGCGCGCTCCGGGCGCCCGCAGCAGCCAGTGGCTCTGGATCTCGGATGAATCCGTGCGCAGGGCCAGCCTGCACGAGGTGCTGGCTGCCAGCGCCTACCTGCTGTTCTACGAGCGTGTGCACGGCCGGGCCCAGCCCCAGAGCCCCGCCCGGCACTGAGCCCCTCCCTTCTGCAAAGCTCCCCGTGCCCTGGTGACAGCTGGCAGTTGTGGTTCGGACCCAAATCCTGCTCTTGCAGCACCGGCTGTGGGTTGAGAAGTTTCCCTGCCTTGTCCCAAGGTTCTGTTCCATGTTCCTCACGCGGCACTTTTCCCTTGGAGATGCTTTATCCCCCACATTTCACTGCCCAAAAGGAGCCCTGGGAAGGGTTGATGTCAAGCTGCTGTTGAAGAGCCCTTCCCCATCCCAGTCCTTCCCCTGGCACCTCTCCGTTATGCACCAGCTCCTCCAGGTTCCCTTCCCTGTGGCAATGGCTGGGAATTGTTTTGTACCTAAATTCCCTGGCTGTTCTGACATCTCCTTGAGAAGCCTCTGTCTGTCAGGCAGGGGTTTTATTCCCAATTTTTCCCATTGAGGAGCCCTGGGAGGGGGTAAATGGGAAGCTGCCGTTGGCAAAGGCAATGATTTGAGACACAAAGTGCCTTGAGCTTCCCTGAGCAGCTGAACATTGCCACTGGCCCAGCCCTCTGCATGCCCACTGTGTCCTGGGAATGCCTCACAACCATGGGATGAACTCATGGAATCACATTTCTCCTGTCCTGCCAAGTCAAGGCATCTCCACAAACATCCCTGCTCCAAAAGGTTCCCCTGTTCACACAATTTTCCTCCTACTTTACTTCTTTAAAAAGCCCTCCTGATTTAAATTGCTTTATCCAGGAGGTAATTTTGTATCTGTTAAGAGCTGAAACCTTAATTTATTGCTCCATACCTTTGGAATATAGCTGGAATCAGCACGTGGAAGTGTTTGCTAGTGCTCAGTGTTGTCATTTCCTTCAGCACTGTTGAATCCAGTTGTTTTTGTAGCATCAACTACAACTTTTAAGGCTGTGATTTCCAAGCTGCTGTAACTGTTCTAGACTTGCCCTTCCCATTTTATTGCTGGAATTTGCTATTCCCAGCATTGGGATCCATGCTCCTGGCTTGCAGCTGAGCTGTAGAGCAGCCCCTGGCCTTGTTAAATGGAATCTAAATAACAGGGCCAGGACTGGTGGGCACTTACTGGTCTCATGAAGAAATCTGAGAATCCTGCATCAGCTCCAGGCTGCCCTGTAAATAGAAATAAGGGGAATTCTGCTGCTCTAGATTGTTTGATGTGCAAAAAAAAAAAAAAAAATTTAAAAATCCCAACGCACAGAGGGAGAAGCAGCAAAACTACTCCTTTAAAAACCTGCTTTTAAATGACCAGGAATAAAATATGTAGGTTGTTTTTAGCTCTTTTCTGTCCTTGTAAGCTTGGAGGAGAAAAATCCCTCATCAGACAAGCTTTTTTCAATGTGAAGTTTTCAAATAACAACTGTCTTAAATAGTTTTTTTTTAGGGCAACTTTGTACCTCATGAATTCATAGTGCTGCCCAAAGCTCGGGGGTGTTCACACTTCCTCAGGTGAGGCTCCAAACCAGCCAAAGCAGGAGTGGTAAAAAAAATGAGTGGATATGCAAAATTATTTACACAACTCATCATTCCAGAGTCTGGAGCACAATTCCTGGCCCAGGTAATGCTCATAGTACATAAATATTGATAAATCCACTGCTGGACTGGAACTGGTCCTGGCTGTGCTGCATGAGCAGTAGTTTGGTTTTAACCTGTTTTAAGTTATAGAAAAGCAAGAAAACAAAACAAATAACCTTGAAGGATGTAAAATGCCAAAAATTTGCTCTGGCCATTGAAGGGAGAGCTGACAGAGCTGGAGAAGGAGCCAGCCTTTCCTACTGGGAGCCACCTAAAACCATCACCCCAACATCTCCCTCCAGCAGCTCTGCCCCTGCACCTCACAACTGAAACCATTGCCAGGGCCAGCAGTGCCTGTCCTGCATTCTCCATGCTCAGTGCTCTGCTTGGGGGCTTTTCCTGGATTTGGGAATTCAGCTGAGCCCCCCCTTTGGCTTAGTTGTGCTGGAGGAGGGGCAGAGGACACGCACACTGTGGACTGAGATCTGAAATCTGGCAGCTGGGACAGGGACAAAGTCACTTCTTCCTGCACAGCCAGCAGGTTTTCTTCTGTCAAGAGCTGTTTCCCTGGGCTGTGGATTGACTCTGGATCTCCCTCAAGGGCTATCAAAGGGAGAGCTGAGCCTTTTTTTGTGGCTTTGCCTGGTGGGGAGGAGTGGATAGGCTTGGCTTAACCCTCAGGTGAGGACTGGAGCAAAGCCCAGCACCTCAGTCCTGGCCTTGAGCTGTGCCAGATCTTCCCAGCCCTCTGTGAGCTGGGGAATCTGGGCAGGGCTTTGGGAGCTCATCCTCCCCTTTGGAAGTCACTGGGATCTGTTTTTCAGCCAAGCACATCTGTGGAGATCATTGGAATTTGTCCAGCCCTCCCCTTTGGAGATCCCAGGGCTCTGTGTTTTCCAGCCAACCCTCCCCTCTCTGGGAGGGCTCCATGCAGCCACAAGGCTCAAATGCTGGTACTTGTCCCTCCCAAGCTGCCATGGTGGAAAAATATGTTAATAAATTGTAAAGAATTAAGAGCTCCAAGATGCCACCTCTGTGTTTGGATTATTCTTGTTTTATTTTGTGTGTTAATTTAAAAATGTCTGTTCCAGTCTAAGCACTGCACTGCTGTTGGAAGTTGCTTTTTTTTCCACTTCAGGGTATTTTTGTAATTGTACAGTAGCAATAAAAGAACAAACTTGGTAGAAAAATCAGTGTGAGAATGCTTTGAAACAAACACCAAGCTGGGAGCCAAAGGGGTTGCAACAACACAAGCCCTGGATAAGAAAGATTTTCTGCAGGAGCTCTTCAAGCTCCACAGAGCATCTCAGAGTGGCAGAGGGTGGGAAGAACCAACTCCCAATTGTCTGCACAGGCCTTAATTCCATAGGAATAATGGACCCACCACTGAAGGCCAGCACTAATTCCAGCCAGGTTACACAGGATTTGGCTCCCATTCTCACCCAGATGAGAATTCCCATTCCCTGATGCCTCAAGATCTCTTGGGGACTGGACAGAATTTCCTCATTTTCAGGATTCCCTGTGGGAATGTGGGAGGTGATGGCTTTCAGGGAGTCAGGATGGGATCCCTAGGGATAATTATCTGGGAAAATACAATCTGACAGTGACAGCCTTCCAATGGAAACGGGACAACCAAGTTCTTCCCCACAAGGGCATTTTTTTGCTGCCTGTTTTTTGTACAAAGGATCTGAGGGAGGAAAAATCTTGTGCTTCCTCCTGCAAGAACAGCTTCCCCTAGGAGCAGAGGGGGTGGAACAGCAGAGGGGTTCCAGCAGACAGGAGTCACAGTCCTGTCCTCACACCTCAGCACTCCTCCGTGTCAGGCTCGTTCTTGCTTTATTATAATTAAAAAACCCCAAGCAAACCAGAGCTCAGTGAAAGAAAGCATCACCTGTAGAGTGTCAGCTTTAAACCATCACAGCTCCCAGTGTTTATAAAACTGCTGCCTCCAGGCTATGGAGCATTTTCATCTTCTTGGAAGACTGCTTAGATAAAGATCAGCTAAGACCAAACTTCTTCCTGAGCAAAACAAGGGCAGCAATCAGCAAAAATAAGGATCAGCAGGAAAAGAGCATTTCCAGAGGGAACAAACCTTGCCATTGAGATCAGTGGCCACAGGCTTTAGCAGCAAAATTACCACCTCCAGTGTCCATTTGCTCTTTTAGTCCCTTGGATCACCACAGGGGAACCCACAGCTTTAGCAGGAACTAAAACTTCACTTTTCAGAGCCCGAAGATGGCTGAACATCTCCCTGCTTGGCGCTGGGCAGGATTTGCCTGAAGGTGAGGTTGACCCTGGGAGCCAGCACCTTCCTGCGTGGGGGCAGGCTGTGGTACCAGTACAGGTTGGTGGGATGCTTCATGAGGAGCAGGCTGCCATGGGCCAGCTGCAGGGTGATCCTCCCTGTGTCCCCATCCTGCCTGTGCCTGATCTTCCCTGTGTCCCCATCCTGCCTGTGCCTGACCCTCCCTGTCCCTGCCATCCCTCCCTTCCCCCGGCGGTCCCAGCGCCGGAACACGAAATCCCGGCAGGCTCCGAAGGACACGGAGGCGATGGGGCTGTGAGGAACCAGCTCCTTCTCATCGTCCCGGTGCTCCCCGATGTGGTCCAGGCCATCTTTGTACCTGTGCACACAATGGCATCAATTACTGCCTTGGGTTGTAATACAGGAACAAAAAGTATGAATTCTATCACCAGCTGTTGAAACCATTTGGGACAGTGATCCTTATCTCCTTATCTCTATCTTCTGTTAATGGGTCATCTGTTAAATCCAGCTGGGGCAGTGGTTTTTATCTTTTCCACAACCCATCCTTCCTCCAGGGAAATATCTCCTGTTAATGGGCCACTGAGTCCCAGTGCATGGCTGATAAAATTCCATCACCCCACGGGGAGATGCTCCAGCCAGGGGGAGGAGCCAAGCATTTCCTACCTAAATAAAAGCTGAGATTTAAAACATCAGAGCAGCCTTTTTCCACTGGATTCCAGAGGAAAACCAGACCCTTCTACATCATCACTACACCCTTGTCCAGGATCATTGCTTCAACAGAACCACATCTGTCACTGCAGGACTGCAGCCACCATTAATGGGAATGCTACCAACACCCTGACAGACACGGTGTCAGGCTAGATTCTGACTCTGCCAGTGCTTCTTTGTTTTGTAGTACTGTATTTTTATTTTATTTTTAATTTTCCTAGTAAGGAACTGTTATATCCTATTCCCATATCTTTGCCTGAGAGCTCCTTAATTTCAAAATTACAATAATTTGGAGGGAAGGGGTTTATATTTTCCATTTCAAGAGAGGCTCCTGCCTTTCTTAGCAGGACACCTGTCTTTCAAACCAAGACAATTATTTACCAATAATAAAATAATTATTTCCCAGTTAAACCAAACCAAACAACTCAAACACTGCACAAGTTGGGGTTTTTTTTGGTTTTTTTTTGTTTCATTTGAAGGAAAAGCTGCTTGGTGCAGCTGGAAAGGAGCTGTACCTGTTGATAAGGACGAAGTTGAAGGTGTGCCCTGTTTCTGAGGTGACACGCTCCCGGATCCGGGTCAGCACCGGGATCCATGGCTTGGGGTGGAATGTGACCCCTGAGTAAGTGTAGGACAAGCCAGGGTCTCCATAGGTGACTTTCTTCCTGGGAATCTTGTGCCACGTGCCAAATACGTGCAGTTTGGTCAAGTCATCTGTTTAAATAGCACAGGGGAAGGATCAAACCCGGGTCTGTATTATCACTGCACACTTCAGTATTCTCCTGGATCTGCAGCTTCTGCAATCTCCAAACAGGAATGAGAGGGCTCATGTCAACCCAAAAGCTGTCATCCCTGTTCCCAGGTTTGTGTCTCAGCAAAGCTGGACTCTGTCTTGTTCTCCCCCTTGAATGGGATGGACAGGACCAGCACCCCCACTATGTATCTCATACACTGAACTCCAGGCCAGGATTATCCCTTGATAAACACTTCCAGCTCAGCAAAGCCGACCCTGCAGGGTCATGCCTGTGTTCTTGGCTTCTCAGGTTGTGCAAACACCAGGTGGCTGCAGAAATCTCCCAGTGCCTGCCAGCTGTGCCCAGGCCCTGGGAATTGCTCTGGGACTCACCTGGGTGGGGTGGGCAGGGAAATATTTCACTGGGAAGGGGTGAGGGAAGTGTAGAGGGGAATACAGCTGGACACAGAAGGTTTGAGATTGGAAGGGATCAGTGGAGGTCACCCAGGCCACCCCCCTGCCCAAGCAGGGTCTCCAAGAGCAATGTCCAGGCCTTTTGGGAGGCCTCCAGAGCCTCTCTGCACAGCCCATGCACCTTCACAGGGTAGGAATATACCTTCGAAATACTCCACCTCCTTCTCCAGCTCCTGGAAGATCTCGTCCGCTTCGGCCTTGCCGAAGAGGATGCGATAATCACAGTTGAGCCCGTCGGCGCGGATCTCCCGCGGCGGCGGCCGCTCCGGGCCGTGCTCCTCCAGCCGCGGCCTCTTCCCCTCGCCATCCCCCGCCTTCCCGCGGGGCAGTTTAACCACGAATGCGTCCATGGGGGGCCCCGGGACCGGGACCGGGAGCGATACCCGAGGGAGGGACGAGAGGAGCGGGAGCCGCGATCCCGCGGGAAACGGGAGCGCGCGCCACGGATGGCGGCGCATCAGGCCCCGCCCCCTCATTGGGTGGCTCCGCCCCTCAGCGCACGCGCGCGGTTTTGGCGCCAAATCCGAGTCCCGCCCTTCACCCCCTGCCCGTACCGCACCGCCGCTGCTGCCGCCGCCGCCCCTCACTCACGGCCGGCCTCCCTCGCTGCCTGCCCTTCTCCGCCGCAGCCATGATCGGGCAGAAGACGCTGCACTCCTTCTTCAGCCCCGCGCCGGCCAAGAAGCGCAGCCGCTCCCCGCAGCCGGGCGGCGATTCTGAGGTAGTGATTGGGGGTCTGAGGGAGCCTGCGGCTCTGGAGGAGGGCAGGGAGGAGAGGGGTCTGGTGGCGGCCCGCGCGTATCTGGCTGTGTGTGTAGGAGGGGGCCTGGGGGCACTGGCGGCTTTTTCTGAGGGGAGTGGGGGGGGAAGCACAATTTCTAAATTCCCGCGCGGCTCTACGCGTGGCTGAGCTGTCAATCAAGCCGCCACGCTCCGCTGCCGCCCAATGGGCGCTGAGACCCTTCGTGACGTCGCAGTTGCTAGGTAGAAACCTCCTCTCCATCCGCGGCGAGCCAATGGGGAGAAGCGAACCTTTTTTCCCGCTGACCAATAGCGAGCGAGTTGGGCGGGGCCCGCGCTGAATTGCGGCCAATGAGGGCGCGTTTTGTGTTTTGCCGCGGACCGGCCGCGTGCGGCGGGGCCGCCCCTGGGCGGGACCTGATCCGCCAAGGTCCGACCCTAATCCGCCATGGTCGCGCTGCTCTCCCGTCCCGCGCTGCTCTCCCGTCCCGCGCTGTTCTCGCTGCGCTCCTACATCGTTCGCAGCCAACTCTTAGCCCGCTGCTTCCAGGTGAGCGCCGCCAAGAAGGCGAAGGAAGCCGGCGATGAGGCGAGCAAGGTGCTGAGCGCGGAGCAGCAGGAGCGCATCCGCAAGAACAAGGAGGCGGCGCGGGAGCTGCTGGCGCAGCGGAATGTGCCCCCGGGTTTCGGCGACAGCTGGCGGCGGCAGCTGGCCGGGGAGTTCTCCAAGCCCTACTTCGTGGAGGTGAGCAGCGTTCCCCGATCCCCCCACCCCGCTCTGAGCGGCCGCTGAGCCCCCGGTGTCCCCGCAGCTGATGGCGTTCGTGGCCGAGGAGAGGAAGCGCCACACGGTGTATCCGCCCCCCGAGCAGGTCTTCACCTGGACACAGATGTGCGACATCTGGGATGTGAGTAGAACCGCGCCGGGGAGTTTAAAGCCATGAAAGTGCAGGGTGGGTGCACAGACACGTTCCTCTAGTGTTTGATCCCTTAAACTTGGATCCTATGGGGTGTGGATGTTGTTGTTTGACTCCCCTAACTCATAAATCCAGCCTTCTCTTTCATGTCTGATACCAAACAGTGATTTTATTGTTTTATTACCCTCACAAGCCACAGAACTTCCTTTGATCCTTTTGATCTTTTTTTTCTGGTGTTACCAGCTTAACCTAGTTTGTTTTTGATCTTGAACATCTATTTTTCTTTTAATTGATCAGTAAAGGACTATAATGAAAGGAAAAAAACACAGCAGAAGGTAATGTCATTTCCAACAAAACCTGTCATAAATATCGCAGCAAGTGTGGCATAAAGCTGAAATGGGATGAAACCTACATGGAATATAACAAGGTGGTTTTTTGTGACTGTGAAAATGTTGGTCTTCTGCACTCAAATTATATTAGTCATATTCATTATTTTGGCAGCAAAGCTGTAGGGATGTTAATCCTTAGTGTTGAGTGGGCTCTGTGCTCTTTAGCAATGAGATATCTGGGATTTAACTTCAGTTTCTTGGAGAGGTTGGTTTGTGACACTTTTTTGTCTCTATTTTAGGATAAAGTTCAGTTATAAGCTTTTTTTCCCCCACTCTCTGGGGAGTAATACTGATTACAATTCAGTGCTAACCAAGGCCTGCTTTCAGGTAAAGGTTGTCATTTTGGGACAAGATCCATACCATGGACCTAAGCAAGCTCATGGGCTCTGTTTCAGTGTCCAGAAGCCTGTCCCACCTCCCCCCAGGTAAGAAAATTTGCAAAATCCCTTTTGTTCCTTAATTGTTTGCAGTTCTGTGGTGCTAGGGCTGGTAGCCAGAAAATTGATGTGTAATGATTTGCAACTACTTAAATTTGAGTTGTGCATCAGCTGGAAGGATAATTCTGTGTAGTTTTGGTGATATTCTGGATGTAAATTTTCATTTCCAGTCTCATTGAAACTTAGAGGCAGACACACGGAGTCCCTGCTGCCTCTGCAAATGGCTTTATTATCATAAATAATAAGATTAAAATCAGTGTTTCTTCTTGCTTGCTTAGAACAATCGGTGGTGCTCTTGTCATGTTAAAAATCTTCCTGCTGGTTTGGTTTGCAGCTTGGAAAATATTTACAAGGAGCTCTCTGAGGACATTGAGGGCTTCACCCACCCTGGCCATGGGGACCTGACAGGCTGGGCCAAGCAAGGTGAGCTCAGAGACACTCAGTGATGTGCCCTCTGTGGAGCAGAAAAGAATCTGATGGAAAAAACAGCCCTGTGGTTGGAAATAATCCACCACTTTAAGGACAGGAAATCACCTCTGAGTGCCTTAAAATGAAAATTTGCTTCAACAGGAAAAAAAGCAGTTTGAATCCCAGAATGGTTTGGGTTCGAAAAGAGCTTAAAGCTCGTCCAAGGGACACCTTCCCCGAGCCCAGGTTGCTCAGAGCTCCATCCAGCCTGGCCCCGGGCAGTGCAGGGATGGATTAACCCTTTGTTTCACCCTTTGGATGTGCTTTGTTTGCCAGGAGTGCTCCTGCTCAACGCAGTGCTCACGGTTCGGGCTCACCAGGCCACGTCCCACAAGGAGAGGGGCTGGGAGCAGTTCACAGATGTCGTGGTGTCCTGGCTCAACAAGAACCTGCACGGCCTTGTCTTCATGCTCTGGGGAGCCTATGCCCAGAGGAAAGGCAGCTCCATCGACAGGGTACACCTCCTTTTCCTCAGCTCTTCCCTCTCCCTGGTTTTTCCCTGTTCCGTGGACACTAGAGGGCACTTCCCTTACAGAATTTTTCCCTGCCCGAACTCTGTCAAATCGAGTTGTGCTTCTACTCCAGCTTAGCCTTTGCCAGAATTAAGCAAGGAAAGTGGAGCAAGTGTAAGCTCCTGTTGTCAGCAGTGCCTCACAAGGACAGAGCTGTTTTTCCTAGTCAAGAGCTCATGAATCAATATGAAATCTGCTGGGATGACAGCAATTGGGAAATGCCAGGGCATTTATGTCTTTGCTTAGTGGGACAGAAGTCTTGGTTCTTGTGGCTGGTTCTTTGAGTCTCAGGCTGCTGCAGGAGGGGGTGTAAGGGGAGATCACACCTGCATTGGAGGAGGAGGAGGAGGAGGAGGAATAGAGCTAAATCACCTGTTCTGGAGCCTGGAGGAGGAGGAATGAGGGTAGATCACCTGTCCTAGAGCCAGGAGGAGGAGGAATGGGGATAAATCACCTGTCCTAGAGCCAGGAGGAGGAGGAATGAGGGTAAATCACCTGTCCTAGAGCAGGAACAGCCAAACCCCTGCAAATCTAACAAGTGTTTTCCTCTGCTGTTCCCAGAAGCGTCACCACGTCCTGCAGACGGTTCATCCCTCACCCCTCTCTGCCAACAGAGGGTTTTTTGGCTGCAGGCACTTCTCCAAGACAAATGAATTTCTCAAGAAATCTGGGAAGAAGCCCATCGACTGGAAAGCACTCTGAGCTGGGACTGAGGCTTGGGAGCAGCTCCTAGCTCAGGGGTTGGGGCATTTCTGAGAAACTCCTGCTGACCTGAGAATTGTTCTTTGGGTGTTGATCAGTGAACAAATGGCCAAACTTTCAGAGATAGTTATATTTTTGTTTTAAATGTTTGTTTTTCAAGAGCATGTTGGAGTGTTTGATGGACAGCTCTGCTGCTGGAACAGATCTTAGCCTGGTTTGAAGCAAAAAAAAAAAAACCCAAGTACCAGAGTTCTGTATTAATTTGTGTTCACTGTGGCAATGGGAATTTCTTTTCAGACTCTGGTGAAGGGATGCCAGTTCTTAGTGAGCTGCTCAGCTTTTTTACATGCCCTGCTGCCTCCTTCCCACACAAATCCAGTTTTCCTATTTAGGGGGGATGGAGCTGACTCCATGGAAGGAAAAGGCTTTTGGTTTTAGCTTTTTGCTACAGATTTAGTACAAAAATGGCTTCTTCTGTAAAGAAAATACATGGTCAGGAGTGTTGCTTGGTGTATCCGTGATCTCAGGATTTTGGGATAAATCCTCCCAGCAGCCACAGGGAGGCTATGACCAAGATTCTTGGTAGTGCTTTTGAACTTTTTTTTGGCATTTAGACGGGAAAATCAAAAGGTTTTAGGTTCTTCCTGGATGTGTAATCACAGGTGCGCTGTGCTGACCAAGGACCTGGGGGTATTTGCTGATGGCAGCAGTGAACATTTGTTCATTAACAGCTTCCAATTAATGGACTGATAGTTGCAAATTACTTCAGATCTTTTTAAGATCTTAAAAGAGGGAACTTTGTGCTTTGCCACCTTGGGAGCAAATTAAAGTTTCCACCTCCTGTTGGCAATAACTGTTAGGACTTCCAGGAGGAAGAGGTGTTGACTTCACACTCCTGGGTTTCCAGCCCAACTTTGTCATTCCTTTAATGGAAGTGAAGAGCTCTTTTTTTTTTTTTTTTTTTTTTTTTTGAAATTACAACAGTTTTTATATAATATCCTTGTAACCCTTCCTCTGGTGTTCTCTCTGAGGTAACACTATCACCAGTGGTTTACACTGTCTGTGCCTTGCTGTATATATAGTTTGCTTGTTTTTTTCTTTCACCCAGAGTGTTTTTTTTAAATAAAAATTACTTTGTTTACATGATCTTGTATCGGTACTTTAACACAGGGAGGGAGGAGGGGGTGGAATTGGGGAGTCCCTATTCCCTCAGGGAGCCAAACTCTGGAGCATGTCCTTGTCCCCGTCCCCGTGACCAGGCACAGGGCCAGGCCACCTTTGTCCCCCAAGGATCGGGTGTCCCCCTCCCTCTTCCCACCCTCATCTCCAGCACAAGTTTTCCAGACGCGTTAGCAGGGAAATATTTGTGCTTGACGTGACCATCACGTGCAAAACCCAACTGGAACAGCCCGGGGGGGGGCCCGTGCTTCCCTTGGGGGCGGCCCTGGCACCGCGTGGGCTCCGGCCTGGGGAGCCGGGGGAGGACAGATGGCCACACGGAGTGACCGGTGACACCGGAGTGACCGGAGAGCCCGGAGTGACCGGCGGGGTCTGCCGCGAGGGGGCACGGGGCTGGAGGCCATGGTGAGGGGGCGAGGGGCTGAGGGGATGGCGAGCGGCTGAGGGGAGGATGAGAGCTGAGGGAAGGGTGGAGGGGCTGAGGGGAAGGTGAGGGGCTGAGGGGATGGTGAGGGGCTGAGGAGGCCGTGGCGCTTTCCCCTCACCTCCGTGCCCAGCTTTGACGGGGATTTGGGATTCCTCCTCAGTGCCCCCCCCGGCTGGGGGCCGCCATCCTGAGGGTGCTGTGAGGGCCGGGCAGGCGAGGCCGTGTCACCTCTCCCCGGCTCCTCACGGAGCTCCTGCTCCGTGCAGAGAAAACAGCTCCGGATGAGGGCGGCCCGGCAGCACCGGGGGCGGCGGTGCTGGAGCTCTGGGGACGGGGCCGTGCTTTCGCCTGTGACCGGGATTCTCGCTGTCCCCCACCCAGGATCCGTGAATGCTGCCGGCTGCGCTGCTCCTGCTCGCTGTGCTGCTGCTGCTCTTTTGGGCCAAAATGTCCAGCTCTGAGTGCAAGCAGGAGAAGGGGCAGGAGGAGAGCCCCGCGGAGCCCTCAGCCGGGCCCGCTGCTCAGCAGAGCCCCCCGGGCCGGCAGCCGCCGCCGCAGCGAGCCGGGCGGGCGGGCGCGGAGCCGGAGCAGCTCGCCGTGTACAACCCCGCGGCGCTGCGCCGCCCGGCCCTCGCCAAATTCGTGCTGGGCTCCTTCGACGACAACTCCTCCGATGACGAGCTGATGGCCACGGCCTTCAGGGTGGGCCGGCGGCGCAGCAGCCTGGCCGGGGTGGGGGGTACCGTCCCCGAGCACCCCACGGTGAGCGCCCTTGTGGAGCCCAGCGCCGGCATCAGGTGCGGACGGCAAGCCCCGATGGCCGGAGCGCGGCAGGGCAGGGATGTCCCGGTTAGGGAGGGCGGGTGCTTGTGGTGGCTGCATTGCTGTTGGTAAAATGGGGGTGCACACGTGCTGGTGCTCCTAAGGTGATGTCCCTAATCCTGCTCCCTTTTGGCGGGGGCAGAGCCGGTGTCCTTGGCTGTGTGACAGCAGTGCCACCTGCATGAGTGTGGCAAGGACCAGGGCAGGGGGTGCCCTTCAAAATCTCTACTTTGGATGTGGGGCAGCTCCCATGGGAGCGCAGCTGACATCCAGAAGAAACAACTGGAAGCCAAATGCTGCCTGCCTCCCCTGGCTGCTCTGCTCTGGCTAAAAATAACAAACCTTTGGCTGCAGGGACGTGTTGTGACACTCCACAGCCCGACGGTGGCTCTGGCCATGCTGGGTTTGAGGTGGTGCTGCCAGCAGTATCCTTGCTGCTCTTCTGTCCTTCCACAAATAAGGAATTTCCTTATGTCCTGCCTGAGTCACATGGTAGATGTGGTTGGTGACCTTTGCAGGTCAGGCTTTGCAGGGGGTTTGGAGCTGAGGAGGGCTCACTGGAGTAGCTCCGGGCTCTCTGGGGTGGCCCTGGGCTCAGTGACAGCCACCACATCCCACCACAGGCCCAGCATGTCGGGGCTGGACCTGGCGAAGAAGAGCCACAGGAAGATGGACCTGCAGCGGGATTTTTCCGTTGCCTCCCCAGCTGAGTTTGTCACCCGCTTTGGGGGCAACCGTGTCATCGAGAAGGTATGTCCCCACATGTCCCTGCTTGTGCCTGGGTAGGGGGTCACTGCTTTTCACAGGGACATCTTTGAGCACTGCCCAAATGTCCTGTGTCTGCCAGGCTTGGAGCAATGGCAGCTCAGAGCTGTTCATTCCATGGCTTCACTCACTCTCATGGGCTAGGAGAGGGAACCCCATGCAGCAACTTTGCACAAACAATGGCCAAAATCCCATCCTTGGTTGTACCCAGTGCCAGACATCAGAAATGTTGTTGAGGAGTCTCATACCCTGCTGGGATTTACAACCACATATCTGAGAGCTCCTGATTAACACATCCTCCCTGCTTTGCTCCACACTCATCCCTTGTCCTTGTGCTGCCCTCCCTCGGGGTAGCAAGGACAGGGTCCACCCTGCCACCCCCGCCCCTGTCCCCCCAGGTCCTCATTGCCAACAATGGCATCGCTGCTGTGAAGTGCATGCGCTCCATCCGCCGCTGGGCCTACGAGATGTTCCGCAACGAGCGCGCCATTCGCTTCGTGGTCATGGTCACCCCCGAGGACCTCAAGGCTAACGCAGGTAATTCCTGAAAATATCCCAAAAAGGAAGTTCCTTACATAGGGGTGAGCTGGGGCAGCCCTTTCCTGCCTGGCATGTGAGGGTTCTGCACAGCCTGGAGTCATTTTCCTCTTGCGCAGCCAAATCCAGGAGTAAATAATTTTTCCCTGCTCCAGCCTCCCCGGGATGGAAGATTTGGGAAGGGATCTGGCTCCCACCACTCCCTGTGCTGTCTTGCAGAGTACATCAAGATGGCAGATCACTACGTGCCTGTCCCTGGAGGGACAAACAACAACAACTACGCCAACGTGGAGCTGATTGTGGACATTTCCAAACGGATCCCAGTCCAGGTAGCGGCCATTTGTGTGTCTCCCACCTCCTTACCCCTCCTGCTGGGCAGAGGGGACACCCCAAAAGGAGCTGATGTCCCTGTGAGAAGCTGGGCATTGTGGGAGATGCCAGCACAGGGGTAGTGCTCCCACTGCTGCTTCTCCTTGTGCCAGGCCGTGTGGGCTGGCTGGGGACATGCCTCAGAGAACCACAAGCTGCCAGAGCTGCTGCAGAAAAACGGGATAGCTTTCCTAGGTAAGGTCTCACTGCTTCTCTGTGCTGAGTGTTGGGCTGGTGTGTGCACTCACAGTCACTGCCAGGGACACTGCACTGGGAATGCCCCTTTGGTGCCTCTGGCATGCCCAACCCATGGAGTGGCAGTCCTCAGGGCATTCCCAGGAATCCTGCTGTTTTCTGGATTTTCCCTGTAATGTTCAGGCTGATGCAGTGTTCACAAAGGAACATTAGGTGGGAGCAGACCTGTGGGATTCCCAGCCTGAGCTCCCCTTGGAAAAGGGTTGAGCTTTGTCCTGAGCTGGGCAGTGGTTTTGGGGGGGTTCCTGCATCCCCAATTCTTGCAGAAGGATTGGGAGACAGAGACTCAGTGATGTTGGGATGGCCTGGTGGGTTGGGCACCCCCTCAGCTCTTCTCTCCCTCTCTGAAGGTCCCCCCAGTGATGCCATGTGGGCACTGGGGGACAAAGTGGCCTCCACCATCGTGGCTCAAACCCTGGAGATCCCCACGCTGCCATGGAGTGGGAGTGGTGAGTGCCTGCTCACAGCCCCCACACCCTCCCTGCTCTCCCCTTCCCTCCTCCCTGCCTCTCCTTCCCCCCAAAACAAGCACCAGGATTGGGATCCTTGGCCCAGCTGGCCACACATATTGGGGATCCCATTTGCAGCAGCTGTTCGGGCAGGGAGATTTTGGAGATGGGGTGCATGGAAACAAGGGGAGTGATGGAATCCTCAGCTCCCTGTGCCATCCTGGTAGTGACCACAGCCCTGGCCATATCTGCAGGTCTGGTGGCCCAGTGGTCTGAGGAGGACCAGAAGGATCAGCAGACCATCAGCATCCCCCTGGAGACGTATGCACAGGGCTGCGTGAAGGACGTGGAGGAAGGCCTGGAGGTAAAGCTGAGCCTCCAGGCAGCTGCTTATCTCTTGCCCACCATGATTCCTCCTCAGAGTCTGCCTGCCCTGCCCTTCTGCCCTCCCAGCACACACCACAGTGACACGAGGCTGTGCCAGCAGCAGTTTGTCCCACTGAATGAATGTCACTTGGGATAATCCTGCTCAGGGATGCCTGGAGTTGTGTGGGCTGTCAGAGTGGTGGGCTGGGGTCCAAAACACTACAATCACCTCAGCCCTCGACCCTCTCAGGTGGCCATGAAGATCGGCTACCCCCTGATGATCAAGGCAGCAGAAGGTGGCGGGGGCAAAGGCATCCGGAAAGTGGAGGCAGCAGAGGAATTTAGTGCCTGCTTCCGGCAGGTGAGAGGTGCCTGGAACCCCCGTCCCTGTCCCTGTCCCTGTCCCATCCCGGCAGGGTCCTGCTCCCACCCGGGGCACCTCCCACTTCCTGCCGCAACTCTGCCTCCGTCCCGGGGTGAATTTCGGGGGGTGATGCCAGAGCACGACCCTCTCCCCCGCTGCAGGTGCAGGCGGAGGCGCCCGGATCCCCCCTTTTCCTGATGCAGCTGGCGCAGCACGCGCGGCACCTGGAGGTGCAGGTCCTGGCAGATGAGTACGGCAACGCCATCTCCCTCTTCAGCCGCGACTGCTCCATCCAGCGCCGCCACCAGAAGATCATCGAGGAGGCGCCGGCCACCATCGCTGCCCCCTCTGTCACCGAGGTGATGGAGAAGGTGGGTGGACTGACCTAGGGGCAGCACGAGGTTTTAGAGGGAAACTGGGCTGGGTTTATTGGGGTTTTAAGGAAGGGAGAGACCTCTGAGTTGAGCAGGAGTCCCTGTCCAGGGTGGTTGGGCACAGGAACAACTTCCCCAGGGAAGCAATCACAGCCCTAAGCCTGCCACAGTCCAGGGAGTGTTTGGACTTTCATGGTGGGGTTTTGGGGGTGTCCTCTGCACAAGCAGGAGCTGGATGCTGATCCAGCGGGTCCCTTCTAAGCCAGGATAGCCCATGATTCCATGATCCAGGGATTTCCCTCTCCCGCAGTGTGCTGTCCGCCTGGCCCAGATGGTTGGGTACGTCAGTGCAGGCACCGTGGAGTATCTGTACGGGGAGGACGGGAGCTTCCACTTCCTGGAGCTGAACCCCCGGCTGCAGGTGGAGCACCCGTGCACGGAGATGGTGGCAGACGTGAACCTCCCGGCTGCCCAGCTGCAGGTACCTGCACACTCCAGGGGTGTTAGAGGAGGCAGTTTGGGCATTTAGGGAGGAGCACTGGGCTGGAGCCTGGCAGAGGGAAGCTGCCCCATATCCCAGCATGGAGGGTGCAGGTGAAAGCAGTGTGGCAGCTTTCCATCTACTCCGGCATCCCAGGGAACTCTCAGGCTCTCTGTCGGTGTCTCCCTGGCAGCTCAGGCCTTTTTCTCTCCTGCAGATTGCAATGGGCATCCCCTTGCACAGGATAAAAGACATCCGGGTGCTGTATGGGGAGAGCCCCTGGGGGGACACCCCCATCTGCTTCCACAGCCCCTCCAAACCCCCCATGCCCAGGGGCCACGTCATTGCTGCCCGGATCACCAGCGAGAACCCCGAGGAGGTGAGCTGGGGGTCGGGGTGGGGGACAAAGGGACTCTGCCACCTGTGGGGTTGAGCTGGGCATGGTTCCCCCCCAGCCAGACAATGTTTATGGGATTGGTGCAATTCATAGGGGTTCCCCTTCCCTGTCTTGCTGCACGAGTCTCAGTCCTGGTTCCTCCATCTCTGCTGTTTTGGCTCAGGGTTTCAAGCCCAGCTCAGGGACGGTGCAGGAGCTGAACTTCCGCAGCAGCAAGAACGTCTGGGGGTACTTCAGTGTGGCAGCAGCCGGGGGGCTGCATGAATTTGCTGATTCCCAGTTTGGACACTGCTTCTCGTGGGGAGAGAACCGGGAAGAGGCCATCTCGTGAGTGTGGCGGGATGAGTTGGAGGGCACATGTCCTCGGGAAGAGTCACAACTGGTGTGTGAGCTGGGAAAAGTGGTTTTTATCTGACAGGACCAGAATGGTGCTGCTGTGCTAAGCACCTGGCTGTCTGGCCAAAGCCAACATTTTTTGGACTGTGGTGGTGCTGTGGCCCCAGTTCATCACCTGATCTTCAAGGACATGTTGAAATCATCTGCTGAGCATTGCTTAGTGCCCATGAGCAGCAGTGTCCATTCAGCAGTTTCATTCAGGGCTATTTCATGGCCAGGTTGGATAGGGCTTGGAGTAACCTGGTCTGGTGGAAAGTGTCCCTGCCCATGGCAGAGGGTGGAACAAAAGAATTTTTAAGGTTCCTTCCAATCCAAACCTTGTAGTGATTCCACTCACTAAAGGTGCTGGGGCCTCAGGAGCTCATCACCTTAGGAGCTCATTGCCCCAGGCCATGAAGCTGCCCAAGCTGAGAGCCAAGTGCCACATTCTCAGTCATTGATGGAGGGCTTTTCTCCCTAACAGGAACATGGTGGTGGCCCTGAAGGAGCTGTCTATCCGTGGGGATTTCCGGACCACAGTGGAGTACCTGATCAAGCTGCTGGAGACTGAGAGTTTCCAGAATAACGAGACACACACGGGCTGGCTGGACCACCTGATCGCTGAGAAAGTGCAGGTGGGGAGGGGACTTTTGGAGATGAGATGCATGGAAACGAGGGAAATGATGGAATCCTCAGCTCCCTGGGCACACCTGGGGTCACCACTGCCCTTCCTTGGGGTAAAAACCCAAACCCTGTTATTTTTGCCCCCACAGGCAGAGAAGCCAGACACGATGCTGGGGGTTGTCTGTGGTGCCCTGAATGTGGCAGATGCTGCTTTCAGGACGTGCATGACTGACTTCCTGCACACGCTGGAGAGGTGCGCTCTGGGGGCTGCCCAGGGGGGGCTCAGTCATGTGGGGGGCACCTTCCACCAGACCATGTTCCTCCAAGCCCCATCCAACCTGGCCTTGAGCAATTCCAGGATTGGGGCAGCCACAGTGAAAACCTGAGTGTTGTTCTTCTGGGACGTCTTCCTTCCGTTTTTGCTTTGCAAATTTAGTGACAGTAGTACTGTGGCAGGCAGGGACAGGGGTACTTGCTGTGGCTCACAGCTCTGGCTCCTCAGCTATCACTTTGTCTGGACACTAGGAAAGGTTTCCCATGACTGGGAAAACAATTTTCAAGGGGAAGTGGCTTGGCTGTGCAGCTTGCTTTTGTTGTTGAATATCAAGGTTATTCCTCCAGCCTTGATGGACTCCCGGGGCTCTCCCATGCCCCTTATCTGAGTGTTTTCCCAGTGTCTGGCCTCCCTCCAGATCTAGCTGTGCATGGTGCTCATGTGGGCCACTTAAAGCTGACACTTGTCCCCTCTGGTCACCATTGTGCCCTCCCACCAGGACTGGGAGCACTGCTGACATCCTACACACTTGGTGAGGCTGGGAATGTCGTGGGGCCTGATCTCTCCATTGTGTTTCAGGGGCCAGGTGCTGCCAGCAGCATCCCTGCTGAACATCGTTGATGTGGAGCTCATCTATGAGGGTGTGAAGTACATTCTGCAGGTGAGGGTAGGGCTGTGCTCCCCCTAAACCAGCCACAGCTCTTCTCAAGGGGTCAGGGACATGCTCCTATCCCAAGGGAGAAAAGCGAAATAAATACAAGCTTGCCCTTTAAAAACGGGCAACATAAAAATGAGGTTAATAACCTCATAACCTTAATAACCTCGTTTTAACCTGACAGATGTTTTCATACACCCTGTTGCCCTGAGTTTATTAAGGCACTTCATTTTCTTGCTTTTAAACCAAATTAGTTGGACTTCATGCAAATCTCCTTACTCACAATGAAAGTGGCAGGTGAGCCATGTGTTGCACCAGTTCTGGGCTGTGAGTAAAACTAGCTCTGGGCTGTGAGCTGAGTTAAACCAGCTGTGGGCTGTGAGTTAAACCACCTCTGGGCTGTGAGCTGAGTTAAACCAACTCTGGGCAGGGTTGAACAGCTCCTCGGTGAAACCTGAGGTTGTGCCTCCTGCCTTCCCAGCACAGCCTCATCGTGTGGCAGCAGCCGTTGCACTGAGCATGGGGAGGTGCCCCCCCAGCCCCCAGCCTGGCTGTTCAGAGTATTTTGGGGTTGCTCTGAGGCTGTCCCCTGCCCGCAGGTCGCCCGCCAGTCGCTGACCACCTACGTGGTCATCATGAACCGCACTCACATCGAGATCGACGTGCACCGCCTTAACGACGGGGGGCTGCTGCTGTCCTACGACGGCTGCAGCTACACCACCTACATGAAAGAGGAGATCGACAGGTACCCCCTGCCAGGCCCCTACCCCTCCTCCCGACGGCCAGCAGCCGGCTGGTGACTCCTTTCCCTCTCCCGTAGGTACCGCATCACCATCGGCAACAAAACGTGCACCTTCGAGAAGGAGAAGGACCCGACGGTGCTGCGCTCGCCCTGCGCGGGGAAGCTGCTGCAGTACATGGTGGAGGACGGCGGCCACGTGGACGAGGGGAAGGTTTATGCGGAGATCGAGGTGAGATTCGCAGAAGAGCTGGAGGAGCAACAATGGGCAGAGACGGAACGCCGCAGCACTGCTGTGATGCTCGTGGGATGTGCAGCCCGCGGGTGCTGCTGGCTCGGTGTGACGGTGTCCCCTCCTCGCCAGGTGATGAAGATCGTCATGACGCTGGCGGTGGAGGAGGCGGGGCGGCTGCACTACATCAAGCGGCCCGGAGCGCTGCTGGAGGCCGGCTGTGTCATCGCTCGCCTCGAGCTCGATGATCCCTCCAAAGTGAAGCCTGTGAGTCTTCTGGGGGCTGCCATCCCCTCCTGCCCGCTCCCAGCTGGCTCCCGGGAATGCTCCCTAGGGGACAAAACGGAGGAGCTGCCCTGATGGGGTATCACAGTGGTTGATGGTCATGCCATGTCTTTGGACTGTCCTTGGGCTCAAGTGCTGCTCTGCTTCTTTGGTGTGCGGGGCTATGCACTAAAAACGTGCATTTATAGCACTAAAATCTCCAGTTTTCCCACGTTATTTTCATGATGAGACACTGGCAGATCCACTATGCTGAATGTCAGGTGTTTCCTCTGTATCTTACCCAAAGCAGAGGTTGTGCTGGTTCCTCTGGGGGTAGCTGCAGCTTTCCAGGGCTCTTTCCTTTATCAACAAGGACAGTTCAGCCCACCTCCCTCTGCCCTCTCCAGGCACAGCCATTCACAGGGGGGCTCCCAGCCCAGCAGACCCTCCCCATCACTGGTGAGAAGCAGCACCAGGTTCTCCGCAACGTGCTGGACAACCTGACCAACGTCATGAACGGCTACTGCCTGCCCGAGCCCTACTTCAAGACCAAGGTGGGTGCCAGGCACCAGGTGTTTCACCCAGTTGCCTTTGGGGCAAGTCCAGCAGCACCAGTTCTGCTCCTGCAGGTGGAGGAATGGGTGGCACAGCTGATGAAGACCCTGCGGGACCCTGCCCTGCCCCTGCTGGAGCTGCAGGAGATCATGACGAGCATTTCGGGAAGAATCCCGCTGGCCGTGGAGAAATCCATCCGGAAGGTGATGGCCCAGTATGCCAGCAACATCACCTCTGTGCTCTGCCGCTTCCCCAGCCAGCAGGTGAGTGGCAGAGGGGGCTCACATCCTCTTAACTGCAACCAGCTGCCTGAATTTGTGCTGCCAAGATTTTATAACAAATGAAATGAGTGAGGGAAATACGTGGAGGTTTATATTTTCTATATGTGTTTGGTTTTATATGTGTATTTGTTTCTATGTGTGCTTTTCTTTTTATATTCGTTTGTTACTTTGCATTTTTCACTTTAAGGAAAAAAAACAAACAAGGGGAAGGCTCTAGGTGGAGTAAGCAAAGGGTGAGCTGCCGGCTTTGTGCCCCTGAGCCATCCCAGACCCTGTCCCCTCTCCCCATAGATTGCCAACGTGCTGGACACCCACGCAGCCACACTGCAGAGGAAGGCTGAGCGGGAGGTCTTCTTCATGAACACACAGAGCCTGGTGCAGCTGGTGCAGAGGTGAGCCCCGTGCTGTCTGGACCCCCCTGTCCCCCCACAGGCACCTCTTCACATCAAGATGGGCTCTTTGCTCCCCAGGTACCGCAGTGGCATCCGGGGCTACATGAAGGCAGTGGTGCTGGACCTGCTCAGGCGCTACCTGCAAGTGGAGACCCAGTTCCAGCATGGTGAGGGCTTGGGGGCTCTCTAGGGGATCTGCAGGGCTCTCTGGTGGAGCTGCAGGGCTCACCAGACCCTGCCCCACAGCTCACTACGACAAGTGTGTCATCAGCCTGAGGGAGCAATGCAAACCCAACATGACCCCTGTGCTGGAGAGCATCTTCTCCCATGCCCAGGTGGCCAAGAAGAACCAGCTGGTGATCATGTTAATTGTGAGTACAGCCCGTGCCTGAGACTCCAGGAGCAAAGGCTGGTGGCAGGGAAAAGCCAGAGCAGCTCTGCATCACTTCAAGTGTCCATTCCTGCCTCGTTATTGCTTTATTTTAAGTATCACCCCTCTGTGGTGTTGGGTGACTGTGCTTGGGTCAAAGAGAGCCCATTTTGGTGCCTTGGGTCTTGTCCCCTTTGGCCGCATGGGGCTGGGGTTTGGGATGAAGCCATCCCACACAGTGAGGAGCCTGAGCTGAGCCATGGTGTTGTGACATTGCAGGACCAGCTGTGTGGCCGTGACCCCACGCTGACAGATGAGCTCACGACCATCCTCCACGAGCTGACACAGCTCAGCAAGACCGAGCACTCCAAAGTGGCACTGAGAGCCCGGCAGGTCAGCCAGCACCGTGCAGTGCCATCCCATTCCTGTCCCCATCCCTGTCCCCCATGCTTCCAGCTCTTCTGTCCTCTGGCAGGTGCTCATTGCCTCTCACATGCCCTCCTACGAGCTGCGGCACAACCAGGTTGAGTCCATCTTCATCTCTGCTATCGACATGTATGGACATGAGTACTGCCCTGAGAACCTGAAGGTCGGGAATTGTGTGCTTTTCCAGAGGGAATTCGGGTGGCTTCGGGAAGGGGGTCTGGCTGCGAGTTCTTCAGTCTTAAAAACAGCTAAAAATCACAAGCCTTGCTGTAGTGGCTGTGTGGAGCAGAGGAGGGTGTGCACACCAGTGCTTCCAGTCCCCATCCGTTGCTCCATGCTCCATTGGGCAGGGAACAGATGTGTGGATCCATGTCTGGCTCTAGTGGTTTCCCCATGGTGGGCTGGGTGTTCCATGGCACCCTAGTGATCAGTCCTGCACAACTCCACGTTGAGGGACCCCCTGAATTGAGCAAGGAGGTCTCACTTCATCCTTGCCCTAAATTTTCCTTTCTTCCTGCAGAAACTGATCCTGTCAGAGACCTCCATCTTTGATGTGCTTCCCGTGTTCTTCTACCACACCAACGAGGTGGTGCGCATGGCAGCGCTGGAGGTGAGGCCTGGGGGGCACAGAGGGGGCCTGAGGGGGTGGCATGGGGGCCCCAGGGGTGACAGAGGCACCGTGGTACCACCTGTGTCCCCTCACAGGTGTACGTGCGGCGAGGGTACATCGCCTACGAGCTGCACAGCCTGCAGCACCAGCAGCTCTCTGATGGCACCTGCCTCGTGGAGTTCCAGTTCATGCTGCCCTCCTCCCACCCCAACAGGTACAGGGGTCCCTCCCACACACCTGCCCTGCTTCCCTGGACATGGTTCTTTTCACAAAGCTCTGGGGTTTGTATCATCCCCTCTGTGCAAAGCGGGAGCTGCCACCACACTGTCCCATTGCCAGGGGAGCAGGATGAGCCCTCTCCAGGTCAGGGTCCCCTGTGGGAGCTGTGTGGTGCCTCCCCCAGAGCTGACACTTGCTCCTCTTGGCAGGATATCCGTCCCTATCAGCGTCTCCAACCCTGACCTGGCCCGGCACAGCACCGAGCTCTTCATGGACAGTGGCTTTTGCCCCACGAGCCAGAGGATGGGAGTCATGGTGGCCTTCCGCAGATTTGAGGACTTCACAAGGTGAGGGTGCAGAGACACGCCTGGCCCGTGTTTGTGCATTTTGGGTGCCACTGCAGTCGTTGGAGAGCAAAATGGGATGGAAGAGCCACAGCTGGGGGCAGCTGGGCAGTGTTAGAGGCAGCTCCAGTTCCCACCATAGCTGCAGACTGGATATTCTCAGTACAGCACTTACCTTGTGGGGACATGACGTGGATTTTGGGGACATGTGGAACATGGGGAAAGCTTACATGGCACAGATGAAACCCCTCTGCTGTGGTTTTGCTGTGCCCAGTGGTGGGGCCATTTCCTGGTACCTGTTTCCCTGTCACTCTGTCACAGTGAGTGGCTGGTGCTGTCCCTTCAGGCAGGGGGTGGGCACAAGGTGCTGGTTTGTGACCCCATCCCTGCTGTTTGGGCAGGAACTTTGATGAAGTGATCTCGTGCTTTGCCAAGTCCCCATCGGACAGCGGGCTCCTCAGCGAGGCACAGGCCACCACGTACGATGAGGACACCAAGGTGGGCATGAAGCTGCTGCTGCTACCCCCAAATAATGCTGGGACAGCAGTGGTGCTGCTGGCCAGGGTTGACTGTGGGGTTTTGTTGCCAGAACATCCGTGAGGAGCCGATCCACATCCTTAACATTGCTCTCTGCTCAGCTGACCATGTGGAAGATGAGAAGCTGGTGCCCATCTTCAGAGCCTTTGCCCAGTCCAAGGTCTGTCCCTGGGGCTGGACCCTCTTTTTGTAAACCCTGCAAGCCAGAACGCTGTACCCCAAGGCACTGCCTCCTCTCCATGCAGTGCACCCCAAAATGTTGCAGTTTTGGTTTTGTTTGTTCCCTTGGTGGAGATGTTTAAGCTCTCGTGACTGGTGGCATCTTCTGTTTTTGTGTAGAAAAATATCCTTGTTGAATGTGGTCTCCGGAGAATCACGTTCCTCATTGCCCAGCAGGTGAGTGCAACTGAGCCTCTGACATCTATAAATACCTTATAGACACAGCACTGAGTGATGGATGGACCCACTGTGCTTCAGGAGCTGGGAATTAATTAATGAGCAATTAAATGAGTGATTCACCTCCTGTATCATCCTTTATCCTGCTCATGTTTCCAGTAATGTGGTTCCTGCAGAGCCACTCCATAGCTTTAAGCTGCCTTTAGAAGCCATCAGAGTAGAAGCCCAGAGTGGTTTGGGTCAAAAGGGACCTTAAAGTTCATCCTGTTGCGCTCCCTGCCATGGGGTGGGACTTTCCACTGTCTCAGGTTACACTAAGCTCCATTCAACCTGACCTTCCAGGGATGGAGCAGCCACAGCTTCTCTGGACACGCTGTTCCTCACAGGGAACAATTTCTTCCTAAAATCCAATCTAACCAATCCCTCCCAGCCCTTTTCCCTTTTGGGGAAGAACAAATCCTGCAAAATTTTTTTTTTTTTAATATAGAATCAGAACAATCCTCTGCAAGCCAGGCCTATTCACATTGTCTTTTCTCTCCCTTTTGCTGCAGAGAGAATTCCCGAAGTTTTTCACGTTCAGAGCCAGGGACGAGGTAAGATCCGGCGGGAGCGGTGCCGGCGCGGCTCCAGCCCCGCCCTGGCTCACGGCTGTGCCCGGCAGTTCGCAGAGGATCGGATCTACCGGCACCTGGAGCCGGCGCTCGCCTTCCAGCTGGAGCTGAGCCGCATGCGCAACTTCGACCTGACAGCCATCCCCTGTGCCAACCACAGGATGCACCTGTACCTGGGGGCTGCCAAGGTGCAGGCGGGCACCGAGGCCACCGACTACCGCTTCTTCATCCGCGCCATCGTGCGCCACTCCGACCTCATCACCAAGGCACGGTGGCACGGGGGACCCCGAGGGCACGGTGAGGGTGCAGGGGTGGCCTGGCCCCTGCTGAGCCACCTGCTCCACCACAGGAGGCTTCCTTCGAGTACCTGCAGAACGAGGGTGAGCGGATGCTGCTGGAGGCCATGGATGAGCTGGAGGTGGCCTTCAACAACACCATTGTACGCACTGACTGCAACCACATCTTCCTCAACTTTGTGCCCACTGTCATCATGGACCCATCCAAGGTGTGTTTCTTGGGGTTCTGCGTCCTGTGTCCTGGAAAGGTTCCTCTGTCATCCCCTGTGCTCAGGACCACTGCACATATGGGCAGCCACTCCTCACCACTCTCCCTGTCCAGAGTGGAGAGGGTGGATATCAGCACTAGGCCCAACCAGGAGGCATGGAGAGATGGAAGGGGCTCACCCAAAGCAAATCTGAAATGGCTGTTTGGGCTGGACATGCAACAGGGCTGCTCCAGCCTTGGCATTTTGTGTTCAGTGTTGTCCCTGGGTCACCAACCCCTCGTGTGCCATCCCCTGTGCAGATCGAGGAGTCGGTGCGCTCCATGGTGATGCGCTATGGCAGCCGCCTCTGGAAGCTGCGGGTGCTGCAGGCTGAGGTGAAGATCAACATCCGCCTGACGCCCACTGCCACCGCCATCCCCATCCGCCTCTTCCTCACCAACGAGTCCGGGTATTACCTGGACATCAGCCTCTACAAGGAAGTGAGGGACCCCAGCACCGGCAGCGTGAGTAACCCCAGTGGTTACTGGGAGCCCAGCCATAGCTGCCTGAGTGCTGCTGGCTCCAGCAGAGCTTTGGGGGCACTTCTGCAAAGCCCCCTGTGCACGTGCAGTGCTGGTCTGCCCAGAGCCCCCAGACTTCCAACAGCATTCCCACAGCTGCATTGGTTTCATCCTATCTGTCTGCATCCAGTTGGGTTCCTTGGGGTGGTGCTTTATTCAAAATGTGCTGAGCTTCATCTGGTTGGGTTCCTTGGGTTGATGCTGGTGTGGAGCTGGGCAGTTTTGAGCTCTGGAGGTGATGGTCAGTGTTAGGGTGTCACTAGTACTGGCAGCAGGTCAGTGTGACAGTCCCCCTCAATAGCAAAAAATGGGTGGAAAATCACCTTGACCAAGCAGGGCTCAGCAGTGCTCCAGAAGAAGAGTCACTGTGACACCCAGGGAAAGCAACCAACGCTCTGCTCTCCTCTCCAGATCATGTTCCAGTCGTATGGGGACAAGCAGGGGCCGCAGCATGGGATGCTCATCAACACCCCCTATGTCACCAAGGACCTGCTTCAGGCCAAGCGGTTCCAGGCACAGTCCTTGGGCACCACCTACGTGTATGACTTCCCAGAGATGATCAGGCAGGTGAGTATGACTGAGCAGAAAGAGGCTCCAAATCACCGTGTTTGCTGTTCATCCCCACCCTCCCCAAATATTCCCACCTGAGAAAAAGATCCCTCTCCTCGTACTGTCGAATGAGAAAACAAAAAGAGCCCAAGCCCCAACATTATTGGTTATGTGAAACATTTCTGAACCAATTTCTAGCTCTTGGTATTCCTGAAACTAGATGGTCTTTAAGGTCTCTTCCAAGCCAACCCATTCCAAGCCCCATGTTGTGTCTCCACAGGCTCTGCTCAAGCTGTGGGGCTCCTCGGACCTGTATCCCAAGGACATCTTGACCTACACTGAGCTGGTCCTGGACTCGCAGGGGCACCTCGTGCAGATGAACAGGGTCCCTGGAGGGAATGAGGTAGCAGGGAATGATTTGGAATTGGGCAGGGGAAGCAGGTTGGAATGGCTGGTGGCTTAGTCTGGCTGTGTAAAGCTTGGGAGATGCTCCTCAAGCATTTTGTCTGTTGGTTAGTGCCACCTGCAGCTCAGCCCCTGCGTCTCTTGGATGTGGCACTCAGTGCTCTGCTCTAGTTGACAAGGTGGTGATAGGTCAAGCATTGGACTCAATGATCTTGGAGGTCTTTTCCAACCCATTTAATTCTGTGACTCTGTAAATGATGCTGGCACTCTGTGATCCTCTGGAGGATTCTGCCCCGTAACCTTGTGCTGTTTTGAGGCAGGTGGGGATGGTCGCTTTCAAGATGAAGCTGAAGACCCCCGAGTACCCCAAAGGCCGGGACATTGTGCTCATCTGCAACGACATCACGCACAAGATCGGCTCCTTTGGGCCCGAGGAGGACCTGGTGTTCCTGAGGGCCTCGGAGCTGGCACGGGCCGAGGGCATCCCCCGCATCTACATCGCTGCCAACAGCGGCGCCCGCATCGGCTTCGCTGACGAGATCAAACACATGTTCCAGGTGGCCTGGGTGGACCCAGCCGAGCCCTACAAGGTGTGTGGGCACCTCCCCTCCCGCAGCACAGGGAACAACAGAGAGTTTTTCTGGGGAAGGGATGAGCAGAGCGAAACTGAGATGTCAAACTGTGGGATCAGAGTGAGGGGGTGAGGCTACACCTGCCCCCAGCACCATGGGGATGGTTCCTTTGGCTTCTCCCAGGTGGTGGAGGTGAAGTGCTGGCATGGGTGCTCTGTCCACCTCTGGTCCCTGAGCTGCTGCACAGCATGATTTGGGAAAGGGCCATGTCCCACATGAGCAGGTGTGTGGGGGACTCCTCAACTCATCCTTCTCCTCTTTCCTTGCAGGGGTTCAGGTACCTGTACCTGACTCCCCAGGACTACACAAGGATCAGCACCATGAACTCGGTGCGCTGTGAGCACGTGGAGGAGGGTGGCGAGTCCAGGTGAGTCCCATATCCCATGAGACACACAGAGCCAGCCCAAGCTCTGCCCTGTACCCCACCAGGATATAGCTCCCACCTCAGCATCCTGCCAAGCACATCATGCAGGTGAGTTTTTCCCATGCCACAGCTCCACTTTTCCTGCAGATATGTCCTGCTGGACATCATTGGGAAGGACAATGGATTTGGGGTGGAAAACCTGAGAGCTGCTGGTACCATCGCTGGGGAGTCCTCCCGTGCCTACGATGAAATAGTGACCATCAGCATGGTACAGCTGGGGCCCTTCCCCTCTCTGCTCCTCCCCTCTCTCCTGCTGGCTCCTAAAGTCACCTTGGGAGGTGTAACAGGGTGCAACAAGGAGGCTGAGCCCTCCACAGCATCCTTCTCCAGGTGCTCATGGTCTGTGCTGCAGCCCAGTGTCCCCACATGTCCCTTTGTGTGTGCCCAGGTGACTTGTCGTGCCATCGGGATCGGTGCCTACCTGGTGAGGCTGGGCCAGCGTGTCATCCAGGTGGAGAACTCCCACATCATCCTCACGGGTGTCACGGCTCTCAACAAGGTACCAAGCTCTGCTGCATGTCCTCCATGGCACTGTCCTTCCCACCACTACCTATGTGGGCTCCTTCCCTGTCCCATGGAAGGTGAACAGAGGTGGAAATTCAGCTCAACCCAGAGGAAATTTGCCTGTGCAGAGATTTGGGCTGACAAACAGAGCAAGGGAGCAGCTCCTGTGTCAGCAGAGCCCCTTGTGTTTCCTTTGGGAACTCTGTCTAGGTGCTGGGACGGGAAGTTTACACATCCAACAACCAGCTGGGAGGAGTGCAGATCATGCACAACAATGGTGTTTCTCATGTCACTGTCCCAGATGACTTTGAGGGGGTCTACACCATCCTGCAGTGGCTCTCATACATACCCAAGGTAGGAGGGTGCTGCAGTGTGGAGGTGGGGAATGTCACTCACACCTGGTTGGTGACCTGCCCTCGGGGTCTCCCTTATAGGATAACCAGAGCCCAGTGCCTGTCACTCCCATAAGTGACCCTGTTGAAAGAGAAGTTGATTTTGTCCCTTCCAAAGTCCCCTATGACCCCAGGTGGATGCTGGCAGGGAGACCCCATCCAAGTAAGTGAGAACACCCCAAGGCCTCTGTAGTGCTGCTCCCAAATGCATCCTGTAGAAGATGCTCTTGGCTGTGGGTTGGTGCTTAGGAGCCCTTCAGTGCTTGCCCTTGCACCATTCCATGTTTTCCTGTGCTCTGCAGCTCTCAAAGGCACCTGGCAGAGTGGCTTCTTCGACCATGGCAGCTTCATGGAGATCATGAAGCCGTGGGCTCAGACCGTTGTGGTTGGCAGAGCAAGGTACTGCCAGGAGTTGGGATCCTGCATGTGTGTCCCTTCACCTTCAAGCCCTGGCTGTGGCTCTGCTTTTGGGATGGTGGAGAGGGAGCAGCTCTCCGGTGGGGCTGGGGTGGAGGGGAACTGGCCTTGCTGAGCCCACCCTCCCCTGCCATAGGCTGGGAGGTCTCCCCGTGGGTGTCATCGCTGTTGAGACCCGCACTGTGGAGGTGACAATACCTGCTGACCCTGCCAACCTGGACTCAGAGGCAAAGGTGAGTGGGGTACAGCTGGGGTGGCATCTGAGAGGAGGAATAGCTCAGCGTGATCCTTGGGCATGTCTTGATTTTCTTTAATTCAGGTGAAATCAAGGGTGCTGGGGCAGTTTGTTTTCTTCCAGCTGTTTCATGTGTCATGTCAGGAAGAACTGGCACAGTCTCAGCTTCTCATTGTCTTTTCCAGATAATCCAGCAGGCTGGACAGGTCTGGTTCCCAGACTCTGCTTTTAAAACAGCCCAGGCCATTCGGGACTTCAACCGAGAACACCTCCCGCTGATGATCTTTGCCAACTGGAGAGGCTTCTCCAGCGGCATGAAAGGTACCCGTGCTTGGGATGCCCATATCCCCATGGTGTGACAAACCTCTGCCACCCCACAGGGTCCTGGGATGGCCCAGTCTGCCAGGCTATGCACCCCACACTGGGATGTGGGGTTGGGTTGGGCTGGGGAGGTCATGGGGCATCGCAGGGCAGAGGTCCCAGGGGATGGTGGCTTCCTGCTGGCTTTGTCTCTCTAATAGAGGAGGTGGCTTTGGGCATCTGGGAGGAGGCTGGGGAGGTGACTGTTGGGACACCCAGCCCCTGAGTCCATTTGACTTTCAGACATGTACGACCAGATGCTGAAGTTTGGCGCCTTCATCGTGGACAGCCTGCGGGACTTCAAGCAGCCTGTCCTGGTGTACATCCCCCCTCACGCCGAGCTGCGCGGCGGCTCCTGGGTGGTCATCGACTCCACCATCAACCCCCTGCACGTGGAGCTCTATGCTGACAAGGAGAGCAGGTCAGCACCCAGAGCACCTGTGTGTGTCACCCAGAACACCTGTGTGTGTGTCAGCTGCCTGGACATCTTGTCCTAGGATTTATTCTCCCATGCAGACCGCTTCCTTGCTTTACCAAACTTCCCTTCCAGGGCAGGCATTTTGGAGCCTGGAGGAACAGTGGAGATCAAGTTCAGAAAGAAGGATTTGGTGAAGACTATGAGAAGGATCGATACAGTTTATGCCAAGCTTGTTGAGCAGCTGGGTAAGGAAGGGGAGTTTTGGGTTGTGGACATCAACAGTGCTAAGTTAAACATGAGGCTCAAGCACTTTGGTGGCAACCACCAGGAGTCCTTCTGGGAAAACTCTTGATGTCTTTTCTGTTGGTGGAGCTGAGAGGATGTGGTGGTGTTTTAGAACACTTGTATCTCCTGGGGGCTCTGTCGATGGGTTAAATGGGTCTGGGGTCTTCTCCCATGCTTTGAGATGAAGGATGGCCATGGCCACGTTGAATTGGTTCCCTGATGCATTGGGAGCTCCTTGCTCCCATGTCCCTCCTGCCTGCTACAACATGGTCCCACAAAGTCCCTGCAAATGCCATCTCCCCTCTCGTGTGACAGGCACTGAGTGTGGTGTGACCTCTTTGTGGCCATGGCTTGTGTGGTTCTGGTGTCAGTGTGCCAAGGAAAGAGCCGTGGCATTGGGCGTGGCGGCTGCTGTGGGAGCACAGAGGGGACACCCTGGTGGCATCACCGTGGGGTTGCTCATCCCGCTGTGTCGCACAGGGACCCCCGAGCTGTCGGAGGCGCAGCGCAAGGAGCTGGACAAGCAGCTGAAGGCGCGGGAGGAGCTGCTGCTGCCCGTGTACCACCAGGTGGCCGTGCGCTTCGCAGACCTGCACGACACCCCGGGCCGCATGCAGGAGAAAGGGGTCATCACGGTGAGCCGGGCACAGGGGAGGGGCTCTGAGCTGACAGGTAAAGGTGAGGGGAAGATCCCTTCGCTGTGACATCCCTGCCCCGGGGCTGCTCTCTGCCCTCCATCCCGCCGGAGCTGGGAGCGAGCCGGCAAACCCGGGCTGTGCTCCGCTTTCCGCAGGATATCCTGGAGTGGAAAAGCGCTCGCTCCTTCCTCTACTGGCGGCTGCGGCGGCTGCTGCTGGAGGAGATGGTGAAGGGGGAGGTGCTGAAGGCCAACAGCGAACTCAGCCACATCCACATCCAGTCCATGCTGCGGCGCTGGTTCATGGAGACGGAAGGAGCTGAGAAGGTACTCCCAGCCTGAGGCACTTCCACAGCCAGGGCATCCCGAGGGATCTCACCGCGCTCTGCCATCATTCAGAGGTTTCAGCTGTGCCTCCCTGAAGGTTTCCATGTGTGAGGATGGGTGGTGAAGCAGCCCTGGGCTGGGGATGGCTCTTCAAATCAGGTCACCCCAGTTGGGTGCTGGTGCTCACTGATGGCAAAGTGATCCCCAGATAAATAAACATTTTCTACCACGACAGGGCTCCCCAGGACAAAAGTGGAGTTTTTAGCATTTGAGCTGCTCTCAAATGACACACACCTTGCTGTGCCTGCCTCAGGAAGCAGGACATGCAAAGAAAACGTGTTTTACCTTTTTGCTTTTTAAATGGTTTGCAAATAGGTGCGGGAAAGGGAAGAAAAATCCCATGGCCTGGATTTGAGGCTCCAGGAGGAAGGGGGGGCTTGGGCTGTGCAGGCAGCAGGACCCCCTGCCCACAGTGCTGCTTTCTCCAGGGCTACCTCTGGGACAACAACCAGGTGGTGGTGGAGTGGCTGGAGAAGCACATGCAGGAGGAGGACAGCACCCAGTCAGCCATCAGGGAGAACATCAAGTACCTGAAGAGGGACTACATCCTCAAGCACATCCGGAGGTGAGTGCCTGTGGGAGCTGGGATGAGAAGGGGAATCTCTGGGATGGGAAGAGCAGGTGGTGGAGACCAGGCAGTTCTCACTTTGACCTCTCAGGAAATTGCTCTGTTCCTTGCAGCTTGCTCCAGGCCAACCCCGAGCTGACCATGGACTGCATCGTGCAGATGGCTCAGCACATCACCGGGCCACAGAAGGCCCAGGTCGCTCATCTCCTGTCCAGGGTGGACACTGATGACCCCTCCTGAGCTGGGCAATCACCATGGGGTAGGAGAAACACCAGGACATGACCAGACCTTACCTGCCCACCTGGTTCCTCAGCCCTTGAACTGAAGCCTTGGACTCTTGCTCACGTGCCTAAATAAAGGACACCAGTGCTTTTAAGTATTTTAAGCCATGGAGATGGTCTTACCATCCATGCAGAGTCCCCTCTGGCACTGGGGGTGCTGCCAGAGGGGCAGCTTGGCAGAAGATGAACTTGTCCTGAGCCAAGCCTGGAATCTGAAGCTGGTGCAGAACTTGGTTTTAAAAAGAATCCAAAATATTTTCCTGTTTTAGTTTAGACCAAGCCCTGGCCTTGGTCTTTCAAACCAGCACAAGGTCAGACACATCTCATGAGACTGGACAGAGCTGGAGGCACAGACCCCTGGCCAGGACCAGTGTCTGCCCAGCTGGATTCAAACTGACCAAGACCAGGAAATGAGAAGCAGCCTCCAAGTGATGCTTTATAAACTGTGAGGAGCAATTTCTGTTGTCCTTCCCCTTGCTGGGGGGCAAAGAGTAGATGTGTCCATGAGCAGCTGAAGGAAAGACCTAAGTGAGCTAATCTGGGAGCTGCTCCTGTGGGAATGTCCAAGGATCCACCAGGGTCTGGCTGACCTGAGTGTTCCTCTCACCCATCTCATGTCCTTTCTGGCTCCTGCAGAGCATGGAGAGGAGGGAGGATGGTTCCAGGTGCTCCAGCCCCATTGACCTTGTTCCTCTTTGGAAGCAGCAGAGCCAGGGGGAGCTGTCACCTGCTCGGACCTGTGCCCTGCTGCTCAGGTAGCCTTTGATCATCTTGGTCATGGAGGGGAAATTGAGAGTTTTTCCAGTGCTTCTGGCTGTGTCATTTCCCCAGCACAGATTTACCTTGGGCTCCAAAGGAGGAGATGGGATGGGGGTGGAAGGTGGGACACCTGGCTCAAATGCAGTGCTGGTCTTGCCATGGGGTGAAGGTGTTGGACACCTTCTGGGGCTGGGTTGGGGGATCCTCCCTGTCCTGGGGTGGGGATGGGAAGGGTCTTGTGAGTTGCTTCCTGGCTGGAATGTCACTGCTGACAGGCAATAAAGTGAGCTCAGCTCCCAGGAAACTCTCTGATCTCTGCATCTTCTGTCATTGTCCTGAGCAGGGCCTGGTGTCTCTGGCACTGGGCAGCCCTTTCCCTGTGGCACAGGACCTGTTTGGGGTGGGGCAGCTCTGAGCATCCCTCCTGCCAGCCCCTGTCCCCCCACTCCAGAGCTTTTCCAGGCATTTCAGAGGGTTTCAGGAACAGGGTGGCACCACAGAGGAAGAACTTTTAGAGTAAGTACCTGTAAACTCTTACAGTAAATATCTATAAACTCTTACTCTCCTGGAGGATTTGAGCCAAGGATCCACTTTCAACTTTCATAGGGTCTGTAAAGGGAATGAATCCTGGGGAACCCCAGAATGACACCAGAGCAGGCAGCACACAGCACATCCAGAATGCCTCAAGGTGTAGTGCTAAGAAATGTTTATTTAAAAAAGCAAAGACATCGTAGGTGACACCAGTCACAGCAAAGGATCATTCATCACATTTGTCCTTGAACAATAAATTATGGTGTGGAGCATCATGGTGCCCTTTGGAAGAGGTTGCCATGGAGGGATGCTCTGGGAGGATACAGGCACAGATCTTCAGCCCCTGATCTTCATATTTTCAAGCAAGAAAGTGCCCTTTGGGGCCACTCCAGCATCCTGCACCCTCCAGCTTTAATCCATGGATGGGTGTGGGAGAGAAAAGTCTGGGAGGCCCTGGATACAGCACTGGGAAATTCTCTGAATGCACAGGAACAGACAAAACCCAAGATATAAATATCACTTTTTGCTCACAGAGGTATAAGTAGACTAAATGCTAAATTCCAACATATTTCAGATGTTTCATCACATTATTTGCAATGCATGTTAACAAGTACAAAGCAGGGTTTGAAAAATTTTCTTTTAAAAGCTACATTAGAATCAGGGTTTTTTTAGTTAATTAGCAAAGACTATTATGAAAGGTACGGTGACAATATTTGGTCTCTGAATTTTTTAAAAAGCATGAGTTTCACAGTATCAAAAGTGCTTATTAAAGAAATGTAGTTTTAAAAACTGTGATAAGATGGTTGTGGTTCTGATGATGAATAATTTAGTGGCTGTAAAACAGGTTACTGCAGCATTATACAAATTGAACAGTGCTCAGTTCACATAATTTCTTTTCATAACAATAAATATAAATAAATTTACAAATAGTAATACTGCCTAGCACAAGAATAGACAGAAGCACAATACACAAGACTATAAACAAATCTATTTTTTTAAAAAATCCTAAAAATCGGCATAATTCCTAAAATCCTCTAGCCAGTGATCAGTTTAATAGTTCAGTAGTACCACTTCCTTCAGGGGTGAGGACTTTTACAAATCTAGATACAACAGTGGTCTGCTAGGGAGGTGAGTTTTCCTTTTTTAGTGGTTTTGCTCCTTTTTTCCTACCTCCTAACAATAAATTAACAAGAGTAACATCAGAAAAGTGTTAGTGGTGCAAATGTCTCCAGGAACTGGGGGAGGTCTTTGTCCAATTTGGCAAATTAAGAAAAAAATTACACAGCAGGGGCACAATCAACCAACTCGGGGCTGGCCAGCCCCTTGGCTTGTGGTGGCTTCTGTGACAGTGGTGACACAGCAGCTCCAGCACGGTGTGGAATAAATTTAATTCCCTTAACTGGGTGATTTTTAGCTCAGTTACATTCCAATGAAAGTTCCTGCTGCCTTCCAGATCCTTCTGGAGAGCTCCCCAGTCCCACAACACAAATATCCATGACCTTGCCATGGGGGAAAGTGGTTCTACCAAGTCCCAGCTTGATTCATTTTCACCTCACACGCTGGAAGCAGCCAACACCATCCCAAAGCAGGACGAGCTCTTGGAGCTTCCCGGTCGGATTTTAACCACGGGGAAGAACCGTCCCTCGGGATCCGTGGAACGGTGCCAAGCTCAGAGCAGAGGGATGGGTTTGTTGCCTTGGGGGTTCATGTACTGAGCAGCTGCCACATTGTCCAGGGTGGTGTAGGTGGTGTAAAGGCCAGTGACCTGCAGGTCGGAGAAGGAGCGGTCGCTGCCGCTGGACACGGGAGTGAGGCCGGGCGTGCCCAGCTCGCAGTCAGAGAGATGCAGAGGGGAGTTGCTGAAGGCGCCCAGGGTGTCCAGGCTGAAGCTGTCATCCTTCATCTCCTCCCAAATGTTCCCTGGAAAAGATGGAAACCTGCTCACAGCAGCACATCCCCAGCCCTCGAGGCTGGAGCTAAAGGGATTTGCTGCTCGAGGGTGGCGCCACTGTGGTGCAAGGGGCAGCGAGTCTGGTCCATCAAATCCTGGGATTCCAGACCTTTCTGGGCAGCAAGTCTGATCCCCCCAAATTCTGGGATTCCAGACCTTTCTGGGCAGCAAGTCTGATCCCCCAAGTCCTGTGATTCCAGACCTTTCTGGGCAGCAAGTCTGATCCCCCCAAATTCTGGGATTCCAGACCTTTCTGGGCAGCAAGTCTGATCCCCCAAGTCCTGGGATTTCAGACCTTTTGGGCAGCAAGTGTACCTATCTCCCAAATCCTCTGCTTCCAGACTTTTCCAGACTGCACCTCTCTACCTGTGCTCTACCCAGGACTATTGTCACAAACATGGAATTTCTATTTGCAAAGAAGAGAACTCCAAAGCATGAGTGGGACAAAAACCCACTGAGGGGACCCCAGAAGTCACCCTACAAATGCCAACACTCAGCCCCATCCCAGAACACCCCAATGAAGATCCTGGTTGGATATTCAGGGTTAAACACTACCCCAAACCCCAGTGTCGCCCTCCCCAGAGCCTTCCCCCGTACCTTGCAGTGCGAAATCCATAATGCTTGGATCCAGAGCATCCACCTCCGTGCTCATGTCCACTGCCACGTTTGGGAAGTCCGGGGCTCGTCCCATGGGGTGGGGCAGGGGGCTGTGGCTCATGTCAGGCAGGGTGTGCAGAGGAGGAGTCTGTGCAGGTGCTGGTGAGTTGGGGGCGAGGCGAGCCTGGGTCTGGAGCTGGTGGTGCAGGGGCAGGGACTGCAGGGACAGCGTCATGATGGGCTGGGGCTGGAGCTGGGACACGGACATGCGGCCCAGGGGGGTCCCCTCGGGCTCTGCCTGCTTGTTGGGCCGCCTGCAGCTCTCAGGTCTGTCAGTGATCAGCTTGTCCAGCTCCTCTGCCCAATCCAAGGAGGAAAAGAGATGCTTTAATCCATTTGTTCGAGCAGGGACTGCCCAAAGCACAACCACATTTATACCATGAACTGACTGTCACTGGTCGTGACCGTGCAGGGAGCAAAGAAATGCCACCAAATTCCTTCCCCAAATCCACTTCCATGGTTATCCCTGACTGAGCTAAAGAATGAGCATGAAACTGCAGAGCAGCTCACCCCCAGCTGCAGAACTCTGTGCTCAGAGAAACACTCAGAATTCTGCTTATCCCCCAAATAACTACAAAAAAATCCTGTTTCAGTGACCCTTTTGCTTTTAAACAAATAATATATAATTTATGTGATTGCATATTACTGATTTTGTAACAAATAACCTCCAGTTGCTTTTGTCAATACGGAGCTCCTGAAAGCTTTAAAAACATTCTTTATAAATAAGAAATTTTATAAGGGGGGAAATTATAAATAAATAAGATAGAAATAAATATATCACATATATAATATTTATAATAATACAGTATAAATACTAACAAATTCTATTTTATAGATAAGAAAATGTCTTAGGAAAGGGAGAATTTTGCAGAAGAACAGGCAAGAAACAGCATTAAAATGCTTCTCTATGAGAAGTGCCTTGGGTTTTAGCTTTTATATTTTTCAGAATCTCTGCTGCTTAGTGTGGAACTCTGAAACTTTTTGTTAGGTGTTAGTAAGGTCTCCTCACAGGGGAGTTAGACAAAACAATTCCTTTCTAGCTGGAGAATCAAGGACAACTGTTACCCAAAAAGCAGAAACAATGGCAAGGGAAAGGGGGCTGAGATTTCATAGCCTGAGGCTGTGGTTGGATAATTGACCCCAATATGTAGATGAACCAAAAGTCATAAAAGTGTAAAAACTTGTGACCAGGATCCATCTTGGATTTGATTTGGGTGTAGCCTGGCCAGGCTCAAAGTTTATCCATTCAATAAACACCTACTTTATTCCTTTTGCTCTGTTCCAGCTCAGCCTTTCCAGGCAACAAAACTACATTAAAAATATGACTGGATATTAAAACATCCCTACAAACACCAACCCCGGAGGCAGCAGAGGGAATGCCATGGATGTGCAGGGCAGGGATGTGGGACACCAACCCTACCTGGATTAGCCATGCTCCTGTGAATAGCAGCCAAATCCTTCCTCTTCCACTTCTGCATCTCCTCCTCCATCTTGTCGATCTTGGCGGGGTTGAGGGCCCACAGGCAGCCCTTGCGGGAAGTCCCGCTCAGTTTGTTCTCCACCTTCTCAAAGCACTTGTTCAGGGACAGGTTGTGGCGCACCGAGTTCTTCCACCCATCAGGGGCTGTCTGCCAGGGGCAGGAAGGGGTTAATGGAAGCAGCCGTGGGGGAGGGGAAAAAAAAAACAAAAAAACAAAAAAACAAACGGGGCTGGGATGTGGTGGGGAAGGCTCAGGTACCTTGAAATAGGGGAAGTGCTCCTTCATGAAGCTGTAGATCTCGCTCACGGGCAGGCTCCCGGTCTTGCTGTTCTTCAGCGCCATGGCGATCAAACAGCTGCGGGCAGGGAGAGCCGGGAATGGCTTGGGATCATGGGATGGCTTGGGTGGGAAGGGACCTTCCACCCCCCTGCCACCTGCCACTAGCCCAGGGTGTGTAGCCGTGGAATGGGGTTTTAGCCATTTAAGTGAAGCAGAAATAAGATGCACAGCTACATGGTCGTGTTTCATGACAGGAAGAAAGAGCCAAGTTTATTCAGAAACACTCTTGGTTTTATAACAGGAC